TGAAAAAGTTATAAACGTATGCGTGAAAGCTACAATAATGGTCAGATAAAGACAAAATAGGACGTTGGAATTTTAAATTGACTATAATATTTGTATTCCAAGAAGACGAAAAAGGAAAAGGAGATGAATAATAGAGGTCCGTTTAATTGAAAATGTTGAATTGAATTAAATTGAAAACGAATTTTAGGAAATTGAATTACCTATAAATTATTTTTCTGAAAATTGTAAATTATTGTATTTGATTAGTATAATTTTTCAAGTGAAAAATGTTGAAATAAAAGTATTTTTGGTGTTCATTTGACTTTGTTTTACATGAAAATTATCAATTAAATGGATAGATTTTACTGATATTGGGAATAAATTTTTTTCCATTGCCAACCAAATAAAAAATATTTAAGAAAATCATCTATCTTTTAGTGTTCGTTTGATTTTGTTTTACATGAAAATTGCCAATTAAAAGAAAATTTTTGTTTACAATAATTTTTAGAATTTGTTTCCATTGCAAAAAATAAATAATAATAATAAAATAAACAAAAAAAATTGCTACAGTAATCCGAGAAATTCATTTTCCTCAAAAAGAAGGAAAATATCTATGTGGCATCAAAATGTGGAAAATGAATTCCATGAAAATTTTTGCCAATCAAAAGCTAAAAAAATGAAAAGATGGAATTGGTGTGCAATCAAACACTACCTAATTAATATTAGGGTGTGTTTGATTGGAGGTGGAATTCCATGGAAAGTTGGAATTGGAATTCCACCTTCCAATTTAAGCTTGTCCGATACTCATTTTTTTTCTAGAAATGAAATTCCATCTTTGGCGCCACATAAGCCAGTTTCCATGAATTCAAGAAATTGCAATTCTCACCAATGGTGAGAATTGTAATTCTTGGTTACTGTAACATTTTTTTTTCCAAATTTTATTATTATTATTATTATTATTATTATTATTATTATTTGACAATGAAAATAAATTCTAAGAATTATTGTAAAAAAATATTTTCCTTTAATTGACAATTTTAATGTAAAATAAGGTCAAACGAACACCAAAAGATAAATGATTTTTTTGATTTTTTTTTTGAGAATAGGAACAAATCTAATTCTCAATATTAGTAAATTTTATCCCTTTAATTGACAATTTTCATATAAAATAAAGCCAAACGAACACCAAAAATAATTTTATTTCAACATTTTCCTCGTGAAAAATTATACAAATCAAACACAATAATTTACAATTCCCAGAAAAATAATTTCTAGACAATTCAATTATCTAGAATTCATTTTCTAGGCAATTCAATTCCATCTTTGCAATCAAACGGACCCTTAGTGTTGTCACATTGATGAGAGGCGATATTTAGTCACAGTTTTATATTGCTTTAAAAATAAAATTTTAGTAAATTTGATAAATTGATGAAATTTAAAAAGTTGATAAACTTGTTGGTCCCATTAAATATGTAGTAAAAATTAAATATTGATTTTTATTTAAAATTTTCACATTTAGAAAGGGTGGACAATTAGTTAGAATAACAGGCGCTGTTACAAAACTGATTGCAAAAGAGGAGGAATCGATCATAGCCATATTACTTTCTGGATTGGTCTGTTTTCACTTTTTTAACTAAATCAAACAGGTTAAGTTGCAATATTATTTATGCTTAGGCATGCTCAGTGTAATATGAATTAGAATTTAGATTGGTAAAGTAAATTTAGGGTCCGTTTGATTGTTAAAGTAGAAAAGACAAGTTGATTTCATGTAAGTTGAAAAAGAAAAAAAATATATCAAGACCATCGGAATTCGATTTCCACTCAGGTGGCTAAAAACTTGCTTTAAGTGTTTGTACTTTGAAATTCAAACTTAATTTTTACTTTCGTATCAAATAGTTAAAGTAGAAAACGAATTTTTCGAATGTGACATTTTTTCATGAAATTTAATGTTATCAAACGGACCCCTAATAAAATGAAGGTCTTACAAATGTAAAAGTTCATCATATTTAAAATATCACAGTCTATTTTGATTTAGATAACTGTGTTAGAATCTATTGATAATCGAAAGGTGAGAGAAAACTCCCATTTGTTTGCACACCAACTATTAAGTTGACATAAAAATATAAAAACAGTAAATATGTTTTTTATTTTCCAACCTCTTTTTGAAAGGAATGATGCTTGTATAAAATGCCTTTATTCGTTGACGTGTTCTCCATTCTATCGTGTATGGATAGAAATGTACGCATATGTATATATATCCTCGAAGGGAAATATAAGAACTAATAGATTCCAAGAGAACCAAATAGGACATAATCGGTTAGATAAAGTACTAATGCTTGAATGTCATCTCCTTCGAAATCGCTTAACTCGTATCAAAATATTTAAGTCATGTTGAATCGATGCTTCCCTTTATGATGACGAAGGAGAATAGTCAAGGAGATCGATCCTTTAAGCCAGACTACGTAAGTACTTATTGTAACATGGATTAACTTTCATTTTCTATTACGTCTGCAATATTTTTAGAATTTTAGTTTAACCGTCAACCTCTCAAGATCCTTGTACGAACTCAATTTATTATTTTGATATAAATACGTCAAGCAGTCAGATTATAAAATTAATTCTTAACTTCCAACAAAAACCCTCGTTATAAGGATGTTTTATTTAAAGGAGAAATCTCGATAATTAAGTAAAACTGATTATTTCTTAGTCATGACGTCTTTCCCTTCTACTAGAAACAGAAATCTTGTATCACAATTTGGTGGAAATAATTGGACAATTCGACTTCTTTTATATTGTTCTTGTTTATGATTGTTTCGCTATTCTTCGTATTCCGATTTTTATATTACTAGTCATTCCTCCCAATTTACGTATTTGTAAAAATTATAAAAATAAATAGCATTTTTCAAAGACTTGGAAATTTATCCAAAGAAAGTGGCAACACCTGGAGAGGTGTACCTTGTTAATGTCTACATGAAAATGACCTCCATAATAATATAATACAAAATTGTTTCGCCACGTCAATTGACAAATACTACAAAAATTGATTTTTTTTTTTTTACGCCGACAGACCGTAATAACATCTCAAACACGCAATTATCTACAATTTTATAATATGGGAATCAAACTGTTAGACTAAGACATAAATACTATGCCGTTTAAAATTTAAATCAAAATTAAATATAAGTCGAGCTTAAAAGTCTTGTGACAAAAAAAATTTAGAAAAAATTACAGTCAAGGTATCGAACCTTTTGGTTATCAATAGACTTGATCCAAAACCTTCGTTATGCCATCAGAAGTACCAAATCTTTAAAAAACTTATATCTAAAGTCCAAAATGACCGTTACCGTCTACTTGAACACAATCAATTGACCCCAGAAATGAAAAATCTAACAATTTTCCCCAAATAAGACAAGGACAATTGGTATTACCCATTTTTCCTTCAAAAGAAAAAGAAAAAGAAAAACACTCTTCTCCACTCACACCCTATCTGCCCCAAAACTAAAAACCCACCAAAATCATCTTCTCCACTTCAGTTCAGAAGCCGAAATTATGTCTCATCGAAAAGAGGAACAAGAAAACTCTACGATCAAGCAAGTATTCCTCACAGTACTCGTCATTGACGACCCAACCCTACTTGTTGACTTGTTGTCACCTTTTACATGTGGACCCTAGGTGGCCGTGGCTTGTACTCTTCTCTCGTTCCTCAACTAGTTCTTCTAGTATTGTTACGAGTCGCTCTCGATCACCGCAATCTCCACCCAGGTTTGCAGTGATACCCCTAGGTTACATCATGGCGGCGATGATTATGCGAAGAGTGTTTTTCAAGGGGCGGTATTGGGAATTTAGTTTGAATCCGTGCTCTTTTAATATAAAGAGCACGTATTGTCGGTATTGATCACCATTTTTGCGAATTCAGGGAGCGGTTACCCTTACATAGGGACGGATCAAGACACTTCGAATTGTGGGGTCAAAAAAGAAATTTTTTTTCGAACAACGTATCATGAACAAAAAGAAAAAATCGGTTGTTTACTGTTCATGTTTGGTGTTTGCACTTTGAGAAGAAATCGGTGGATTATATAATATATCTATGGACGAAATAATGGATATGACCCATGTGATATGAATATAGATTTAGAATTTGGACTTTTTGAGGCAGAAAATTAAGTTTTCAGCAAAAATAAAAAAATAATAAAAATAAATTTCGAAAAAATTGTGAGGTCATTTGACCCCACATGACTTCATGTGGGTCCACCTCTGCCCTTACATTATTCATAGAGTTAGTGTTGTGATATTTTTTAATAAGGTTTGAGCTTTTGGGTGGTGGTGGTGGTGGTGGTAGCATGCAGTGACATTTTGGTGGTTGTAGGCATTTTGGTGGCTGTAGGCATTTTGTTTTCGTACGCAATGACGATAGGTAATGGTGGTGGTAGCTGGTGACGGTGTTTTGGTGGTTTTTGATTTTGAAGTGGGTGGAGAAGATGCGGCTTTTTATTTTTATTTTTATTTTTATTTTTTGATTTAATACTATTATTTTTAGTGTTTTTTTTTTTTATGAAAAATGTATAATTACCCTTTTGGCCTTTAAAATTTGGTCAACATTTGGCCAAATTTTTTTACTGTTGGTCAACTAATAGAGAAACTAATTGTTTTTATTAATTTGGACTCCAAATGCGAATCTTTTTAACGGTTTGGTACCTTCAATAGCACAAATGAAAGGTTTGGATCAAGTCTGCTAATAAACAAAATGTTTAGTACCTTGATTGCAATTAAATTTATTTGACTAACAAACATTTCTCATTACAAGAAAACAAAAGAATAATTATGCACATGTATGCATGTGCATAAAGACAAAATCAATGTGTTCAACTCCAATTAAAGCTCACAGGCCATTTTTATTTTTATTTTTTTGTGGAAGTTTTCGAAGTGAATTTTGTAATTAAGTTTTTGTCACCTAATTAAGTTTTCGTATTAGTTGTGAGTTTAAGAAATGTATTGATAAAAAGTATATTTGACTACCTAACAAACATTTGTTATTGATGTGAACTTGTACCAAGTTTACAATGAAACATAATTTCTACATTACAAGACTATTTCAGAAAATTAGTAATCTGAGATACAAGTAAATAAATAAAACAATCGTATGACTATACCTTGTTCATTCATAAGTTGGGAAGAGTCGATAATTCAATTGGGATCGTAGGGGGCAGTGTTTGAGGTACTGTTGATATTCTCTGTTTATGGGATGTAATTGAGCAGACCTGTTGATATTCTCTGTTTATGGGATGTAATTGAGCAGGCAATCACTCAACTTTGGAGTGATTATTCTGCAGAAATCTGTCTTCGGAGTTATTTCTTGTTGGCTTAGCTTGATTTTTCAACTTTAGTTGCAGCCACTGCTTCCCTACATTGAATATGACTACCCTCAATCAATACCTTTATGGTAATTCCCAAATATTCATGTTTTTCCTTGAGGTTCTAATGTTTCTTTTATGGATAAAGAAACACCAGATGGTTGACAGAAGTCACCAAAAATCGCCACAAGAGCATATACCGTCTTTAAAATGATGATAGCGATTGACATCCCTTATAGTGATTTCCCTTTGTGTAATTTTGGAAATAAACTTGATGGCAACATGGCAGTCCTCACAAACACGAAGGTTTTTCGTTATCAGAAGCTTAGCTCCAGCAGGTGTATTAATGAGTCCAAATGCAATAGCTAGCCTTTCACTGTGGCTGTACACCATTTTGGTCTTCTCATCATCCTCCACGTCAAAGAAAACTGGTGAAATATTTGGAACGTATCCAGCTTTTGCCATTAGTCCTCCCAATTCTTCCAATTCTGCATATATCTCATCAGACATAGGATGAGTTACATCTCCAGATACAAATGCATGCATCTTATTTTTAACCTCAATCCAGCTACAAGCAATGCTTTTCTTAAGTTTCCTCTCTGACAATAGCTTTCTTAGCTTCGTAACTCCTTCCCACTTTCCCGTTTGAGCATAGAGATTTGATAAAAGCACGTAATGGCCAGCCTCATCCGGTTCAAGCTCAATCAGTCTCTCTAATGCCAGTTCCCCCAACTCCACATTTCCATGGATCTTGCATGAATTAAGAAAGGCACCCCAAACACCAGAATCTGGTGTCACCTTCATCTCCATTATCAATCCATAAGCATCGTTCAAACGATTACAATGGCTAAGGAGATCAACCATGCAGGTATAATGCTGAATGGTAGGTTCTATACCATAATCTCTTATCATCATGTCAAAATACATCTTCCCTTCATTTAACAGTCCTCCTCGGTTACAAGCCGATAGAACCCCAACGAAGGTAATATGATCAGGCTGAGCTTCAGCCCGCATCCAATTAAACAAAGAGAAGGCTTCATATGCATGACCATGCATTGCATATCCAGTTATCATTGCATTCCAAGAAACAAGCCTCTTCTCTTTTAGTCCCTCGAATAATATCCTCGCGATCCCTACATTCCCACTCTTTGCATACATATCCACAAGGGCAGTCTTCACCCTGTCATTGGATTCAAACCCATGTCTGTAACTATAACAGTGTAGTTCTCTCCCTTGTACAGTTGCCACTGCATCAGCACAAGCCGATGTAGCCGTCACTAGTGTTGCTTCGGTAGGCCTAAACCCTGCTAACGCCATCTCACCACAGAGTCTCAAACACTCATCTGGATGCCCATTTTGGGAGTAAGCAGCAAGCATTGAATTCCACAACACAACGTCCCTATTGGCAATCTTGTCAAACACTTGTCGAGATTCATTTATACAACCACATTTTGCATACATATCAATAAGTCCAGCACCCACAAAAGAATCCATTTCCCACCCAGTTTTCTTCACATGCTTATGAATATTCCTTCCCACTTCAACATCGGATAGGCCCGAACACGCTTTCAGCACAAAAGGAAAGGTGAAATTATCCGGAACAAGCCCGTGATCAATCAGCTGGTAATACAAAGAGATCGCAACTTCATATGGTCCATTCCATGCATACCCTCGAATCAAAACATTCCAAAGAAACAAATTTGATTTCGGCATTTTTTCGAACAAATGGTGAGCATTTGATAAGGAGTTGCAAACACAGTAGACATTAACGAGTTTAGTGGCCAAATGGGTGTTGTGAAATAGCATGCCATTGACACAGAGTTGCGCATGGAGTTGCTTTCCGGGTTCTATAGCTTTTTCAGTAATACAAAATTGAAGTACAGAGGCATATTGGTGGGGATTTACGTATCTTCTTGTTTTAGAGAGCAGCATTTGAAGAGTAATCATGCAGCTCTCCTCGCAAAGTTCACATACAACTTATTGATCTCATAGAATTGATCTCTTGCCAAGATAAAAACTTTCCATCTAATACGGCATGAGAACCTTAATTATGGTTCTCCAAAAACATATAGCTCCTAGCTATTCAAAGTTTTTAGTCCCCAAATATGAGGTTTACGAAGGGTTGGTCTAAACTACATCACAAATGGGAGGCACTGAGGCTGATACCCCGTCCATTGAAGAAAAGAGATCAAAACTGCTCAACTATGTAATTCTTAACTTCAATTTTCCATGCAGCGTAATCACCAATCCATTTATTTTGGCGTATGCAAAGGGGTCCAATCACTGACTTTTGCTTGTCAATATTTTGTCGCTAAACTTTGTTTCACCATTAAAATCATTGCCTTCTACGAGATTGATTTGGACAACAGTATGATTATGCGGCATAACTGTAGACGAGACTTACACTAAATAGTAAATACCCAGGCACCCAGAGGTTACTCTATCGAATAGTCCGTGAAAGGAGAAGGCAGACTGGAATACCAACATATATCTATTTTTGAATTCAACCAAGCCTGTAGGCTATGGTACTTATAATGTAACTCTTAACTTCAATTTTCCATGCAGCGTAATCACCAATCCATTTATTTTGGCGTATGCAAAGGGGTCCAATCACTGACTTTTGCTTGTCAATATTTTGTCACTAAACTTTGTTTCACCATTAAAATCATTGCCTTCTACGAGATTGATTTGGACAACAGTATGATTATGCGGCATAACTGTAGACGAGACTTACACTAAATAGTAAATACCCAGGCACCCAGAGGTTACTCTATCGAATAGTCCGTGAAAGGAGAAGGCAGACTGGAATACCAACATATATCCATTTTTGAATTCAACCGAGCCTGTAGGCTATAGTACCCATTTTGCAATTACAGTTGATTTCTTTTTCACAACAAGAACGATATAAATTGTAAAGTTAAATAATTAAACACCAGATTTTACAGTTTAAAGATCATCTACGAAGATGTCTACAAGACGAAATTATAACAACCCCAAAATGCGTCCAAGAAAATAAATTTCCCCCAAGACAAAATTCATCAGAAAAGGTGGAGAGGGATGGGCTATAGTACCCATTTTGCAATTACAGTTGATTTCTTTTTCACAACAAGAACGATATAAATTGTAAAGTTAAATAATTAAACACCAGATTTTACAGTTTAAAGATCATCTACGAAGATGTCTACAAGACGAAATTATAACAACCCCAAAATGCGTCCAAGAAAATAAATTTCCCCCAAGACAAAATTCATCAGAAAAGGTGGAGAGGGATATACATACACAATACATAAAGCGGGAGGGGGGAGTGGCGGGGGGATCGGTTTATAAGTAAAAGTTCATATCTGTGGTGTAGTGAAATTAAGGAAAATGTGGATAGGATGGAATAGTTATTGAAAAGGGGGATAAAACACCAAATTGCTAGAATCCAGTTTCTAAGCACGTTCAGGCATTAAAACTTCCTTCACATGGCTACAAATATGCGAAAAGTCTGGAGCCTAAAGATTCATATAGCGAACAAATTGGAAAATTGGCTACAGCAGTGATCATCATCAGTCAATTGTTCCAAGAGTCCTAAATAAATCGCAACTGTCTCTTTAACTTCTCATTGATCCATATCTTGGCTCTGAAATTTCTCGAGAATTACGTTACAATTATTCATCGACCGTGCATCAAGAAGGCCGTGATTCCACAGTTTTATCATAAATAATCTCCAGCACCTGCCAAGAGCATATTAATATTATTTGATGATGCCCAGTGCAAGAACAAAGATGATCAGCTGTCTACTACATCAAATCACACTTAATTTGAACCTAGATAAACAATTACAGTTAGAAATCACATATTTTGATAGTACGGGGAGAGCTGTCAATATTCTAACCAGGCATGAACAAATAAGAAGTCATTCTTAAACGCCAAAAAGAGCTTATTGCATATCCAATTTGAGATATGAAATCCCACATATTAAGTAATATGTGAAGTTCAGCATTGGTACAAATTGATACGCATAGAGAAGTTCGTCGTCACTAGGGACGGACCCAGGAACATCATTCAGTGGGAGCGAGATAGAATTATGGACTAAAAATTATGGGCTACGTTGTAAATGTCAAAAATTAAGGGTCCAATCCGCCCCTGGTCATCACTACGAGAACGTTTTGACACCAATTAAATCAGCATGCAAACTCTTGATTATGAGCCAGAAATATTATGTTAGCCAAATTACATCACACGATAGATAACATATAATGTTCTTCTCCTTCCATTATCCAATACTTGTCAACAGCAACAAAAGATAACTTTGCGTGACAGATAGTACATTTAGGCTAGTCAATTAACAAAATAAAATAGAGTGCATATACAAAGGATGCCAGAAGAATCTTTCTGGCCCCATATCTCTAGAAATATTTTAAAAACATAAAATTGAATTGTATTATACAAACTTGGGATGGGCAGAGTGGATCACAAATTATTACAGAAACAAGATTAGATGATAAAAGATTACCAGAGTAATGCTGGTGTCTGAACAAGATCCTGTCCATGCAATTTAGAAAAGGCCTCACACGCCCAGGGAATATGACCATCAGCCAGCACCCTGCCATCGTGATGGACATCATACTTAACAAAAGGAAAAAAAAGTTCTAAAATTCGACCTTGATGTAGCCCATACATCAGTTAAAACTATCTTATAAAAAGCTAAACTTAAGGTGCCAAAATTGTTCTTAATTTCACAGAGAGAAGAGACCTACAGAAAGAACCCTTTGTTCTAGCTCCAATAAGCCTCGCTGACAATCAACTTTACCCAGAATGGCCAATTAAACTTTCAAGATTTATTAGATAATATTGTTCAATGCCTTTACTAGAGATCCGACCCTATTAAATACTAGAAAATATTTCTTTCTTGGGGGATCAATGACAAATGCCATCCCCACCATCAGGCAACAATATATTGCAGAAACTATGAATTGTGAAACCATTATATTGATACTACACAAAACAAATTTTTGCAGAGATCTGATCCTTTTAATATATGTATATATATATACACACACACAAAACAAAAGGAAACAATCCACAGGTCGCTCACCTTTGCTTTCTAACAAAAGAATTCCAAAGATGCATCATTTGCTTCTCATCTTTCATAACATCCACAAAATCATCCAGCATCTGCACCATATCAGAGAATCAAATGTAAAGATAGCATGATTAAATCATTAACCACAAAATAAAAAGCCTGTTACAATGGAAATACAGTACACCAAAAAACTGATGTATTCATAGAACTGATACTACTACACTAATAACATTCAAATGGCAGACAACTTAGTTTACACACATTTGCAACATATGTCCTCGTCTTGAAGAATTATGCTCATATAGTTTTGGTTATTTAGAAAAGAAAAGTGCAAAGATAACAAGAGCACATATATTTTGAGACTGTAGAAAACTTATTTTTATTGATCAACAAGACATCTATTTCTACAGTATAATGAAAACTAAAATGCAGAAAAATTTGCTATGGATTGCGCATATCAAAACAAGAAGATAAAATGATCGTAATCTAAAGAATAGCAACAAATGAAACTGATTTTCTGTTAGCAGCTTTGAGAAATATCCAGTCAACACTCCTCAAACTCTGGAGCTGCATACTCCAAGCTTTTCGCTCAAGAATTCATATCCAACCGTAGCAAGTGCCTTTGTTAGGATGTCAGCAGTTTGATTTTCTGTTTTGCAGTAGATTAGCTGTACTTCTCCTTCCTTTTGTACCTCTCTTAGAAGATAAAACTTTATCTTGAAGTGTTTTGTTTTGCCTGGAACACAGGATTATTAGCAATTGAAATCGCAGCTTGGTTGTCCACAAATATGTGTGCGCTTTCTTCTTGTTTCATATGCAAATCTGTTATGGGTTTCCTGAGCCGAAAGGCTTGACTGACAGCAGCAACAGCAGCTACATATTCTGCTTCTGCTGTGGATTGAGCTATGACTTCTTGTTTCTTTGAATACCATGAAAAAATTCCAGAACCAAAACTAAAACAGTAACCTGAAGTGCTTCTCATATCATTAGTACATCCAGCTCAATCACAGTCAGAATAGCCATGAAGATTGAAATTTTAACTTCTTGGAATCTTATTCCACAGTCAACTGTGCCCTTGACATATCTAGGGATTCTTTTTGCTGCCTAAAAGTGAATTTCACTTGCACAATGCGTGTATCTTGACAGCAAACTTAATGCATGCATAATGTCTGGCCTTGTAGCTGTTTAGGCAGCCTATTAAGCTTCTGTATAGCCCTTCATCAACTTTTCAGCTCCATCTTCTTTGCTAAGCTTCTCTTTTTATTCATTGGAGTTGCAGTTGACTTGCATTCCTCCATTTTGAATTGTCTAAGAATCTCCTTTGCATATTTTTTCTTACTTACAAATATTTCTCTTTGATTCTGCTGCACACAGCACATACATACCAAGGAAGAATGTCATTCTTTCAAGATCAGTCATTTCATTTCCGAACCTTTCATTCCTTCTTTAAACCTGTCAATGAGCTCCTCATTACTTCCCGTGACAAGTATATAATCAACATACAAGGACACCACAAGTATTTCGTCATCAACCATCTTGATATATAAAGTAAATTCACTTAGACTCTTTTCAGAGCCTAAGTTTATCAGGTGTGCATAAATTCTGCTTTACCAAGACTTGGTGACTATTTTAAACCATACTGGGCTTTGTTCAGTTGATATACCATCTCATCTTGTCCTTGAAAAGAAAATCCTTCAGAGCATCGGTAAATATCTTTATATCCGCCCTGTACCCATTAGATAGCTGATCTTGCTTTTTCTATGCAATTAACTGTCATGCAATAAGATCCATATCTCCTTATTAGCCTAAACAAAAACAATGGCCGATTGATCCCTTTCTCAGTCTTTTTTCCCCTCAAATTTCTTATCAATCAGTTCCTGGTTCTCAATTATTTAATTCTTGACCTTATTTCCAATGTTACTTCTACCAACTGATTCCTGTCCTTGCTCCCAAAGTACTATCAAACTGTTCTTGACCTTGTTCTCAAGGTTTTTTTTCTTATTGACCGATTATTGACCTCATCTCTAAGATTTTCATTTACTGACGAATTTTTACCTGTTTCTTGAGAGATTTTTTACCCACAAGTTCTAGACCTTACTGTATAGCTTCAAGTTGACTTCCAATCATAAAATAGAAACTTCACATAGGCATTTATCTTACAGCTATCTTATTGCTTCATCAAGTTTCATTCATCGGCTACTCTGTTTATACATATACAATTTTGATTCCCCTGCACCTATGAGGAGAAGTTAAAGATGTGAAAATATTTCAAGATTTACAGATACTGCAATATTTTTCAGATCTCCTGTAATTATTTTCACAATAGTTTGATAGGATAATTACCGTAAAATCTTTCATGTCATAGTTCTTTGCAACCCATATATGCAAAAGATATACACTCCTATTTATTTAAGCCTTTCTGTTTCAACATAACTCCTGCTATAATTGCCTTGTATGCTTCACTGCAGTTCCAACCCAAATGCTTTAAGCACATTATAACTAGAGTTCAATATTTAAGTAACTTCAATTAAGGTTTGTACGATTTATCAACAATGCTCGACAATTTGAACCAAAGCCTTATGTTGGGTTCCAGAAAGTTGAAAATTATACAGATGCATTGATACATTTGACAATTGGTTTGAAATTGTTATGTTCGCAAGTGCAGAGAACCGTGAAAGTTACGGTCTGATAGCAATGGATAAATCTTATTCTATTCTAAATTGCATTCGCTTTTAAGCAAAAATGAGATCATGTCAAAAATAAATAAATAAATAAATAAATAAATAATAAAAAATATTGACCCATGAAATAGAGTTAAAATTTTCAAGTACCTAGGTTAAACAATTACAAGATGTAAGTCAGAAGCAACTTTGGTTGCATCTGCTTCTGGAAGATAAGTCTGATTACCTTATGCATTCCACAAACAGCAGGCAAATGCAAATGCTTAGAGCAAGCCACGTGCACTCTAAAAGGATATTTTTAAAATGGAATATAAGATTGATAATGATCAAGAGATAAGCATACCCTCCGATCTTCAAGATCTGCAACATCATCGTCGACTTCATCCTCACTGTCACAATCTGATAAGACTTGCTCCATGGTCATGGGCTTCATTTGTTACAGAACTTCACAATCAGATTTATAAGCATATTTTTTACCAATATTCTATACAAAAATATCTGATCTCACAACTGCACAGTCACATAGCAAAGCATGCCCTATCTGTCTCACAATAAGAAATTGCTGAAAAGATGGGGAAATGTTGCAATTCAAACTCAACAAACACAGCAGCAGAATAACTTGAAAGTCGTATTTCCACAAGAGTTATTTAAAATTGAGGCGCTAAGAATCTTCCAAAGTGACCTAAAGGATTTATTTCCCATAGTAAATATTAAAAGATCCCTGTGCCATCAAAATCAAAAAGAATAGAGGAGATCACCTACTAGCATAAAGTGAATAATTTGAGCTATGGCATCTACCCAACTGTATTTCATGTGTCAATTCAAGTACAGGTTCAAATCGGAAGAGAAACACAACATAGAAAACACTCAGGATCACAAATAAGCTCTCACTCGGCTGAAAGTAAACACGAGGAGTGTTTGACCCTTTTGAAATGGGAACACCTTCGACAAATGGTTGACTTTCTAAGAAGTGAGCCAGCCACAACTAATTTAACGAGATAGTAAAAAGACACATCACATGTCATATCATATTTCAGTCACACTATATAGCATTCCTTCGAATGCAACATAATTATTTTTCCATTATCAAGGGTTTGTTTGAGACCTAATTTTTGGAGAATATATTTTGTAATAGTGATTTTTTTTATTTATTATTATTATTATTATTTTTTTGAGAATGTGTGGTTAAAAAGTAGGAAAAACTTTTGAATTTTACGTGTAAAATTATTTTATTGGGCGAATGTGTAATTGAAAATGAATTTGGGAAAAAATAAGTTCTTGAAAAATGGGGCTCAAACAAGGGCTAAGTTTATGTAAGAACATCTATGAACTAAGTTCGTTCCAATGCTCTAAAAATCGAACCAGATCAACCAATTCAACCGAAAATCGATCCGATCCATTTGGCATTAGAAATGGTTCATCTAGAACCCGATGCCAAACCGAGTCAAGCTGCTCGTTTAACCGCAAAATGCGACCCAAACATGGGTTCCCCAGGTTCGTCGATCTGAATTTTTTATGCAAAAATCTGGTCTTTTTAAATCTAAATTGGCACCTTTAGCGAAAATTACTGCTTTCATTTATGGAAAAAAAGGGTTCTGAATGATGATAAAAAATTAATATAAGTAGAATTTACCTTAAAAATGGAATGGAGATATAGGGGTTGTTTGAGCCCCATTTTTCTAGAAAAATGCATTTTGAAATAGTGTTATGATGGAGAATGTGTGGTTAAAAAATAAGAAAAGTTTTGAGTTTGCGTATAATATTATTTTTTTGAAAAAAGTGTGGCTGAAATGGTGTTAAATCACTATTGAAGAATGTATTTTGATAAAAAAATAGGGCTCAAACAAGGGCATAGCCTTGAACTTGAAAGATGATGGAATTTTTTTCCATTTCCATTTGCACTAAGGGAAGTTTGAAAATGAGGTGTGTCTTTTCACTTTCTAATAAATTATTGTATTAAATTATTAATTAGCATATTTATTTATTGTACAGTTAAATTAGTATTATTAGCTACAATATTAGGCTTTAATTTATATTTATATTTTCAAAAATTTTTATTGTATAACAATTATTGGTTGAAAAAAAGGTTTGACCATGTTGAATTTATTACCTTTGACCTTTAAACCTTTACATTTTCCTGGTCGAGTAGGCCAGCTTTCAGAACATTGTCATTTCATGAATAGCATGTTCATGTATCAATCCACCAAAGTCTTAACCTATTTTTTAACTACATTCCTGAAAGTCATAAATCTAGGGTCTTGACATGTCTAAGATAGCGATCTCACTTTAAAAACTTAATAAAAGGAAGGTCTGTACCAAAACACACATGGTCTATTGTGATTGCCAAGTATCTAGCCATGCACGGCGAGAAGGACTGCTTAAGATCTATGATACAAGGATACTCCTAATAGGGTAGCGTGTGTCGTGTCTAATATTGACAGTCCTCAAACATTCATGACATAGAACGATAAGTCACATGCCAGGTCTATTTTTTAACCTTTTTAAAGTTCTAACGCTTGAAAAATACTTTAGGATTCTTCACACGTGTTCGACATCACATGTTGGGTCCTATTCTAAAAGGCATGAAAATAAAGATATAAAATATAAATTTTAAATAATTTAAGTAGAAGTGTTCACGACCATGGTTTTGAAAAACCACATGTCGAGTTTATGTCGACGTAACTTAGTCATGATCATACTGGAGTTGCAAACGACAACTTTTATTGGGTTTCGCAACTTCGGAAAACTCGTAAATGGTTCGCAAAAACTTCTAGAAGGTTTTTCGACTCCTACGACCTTAGATAAGGGTTGCAACTTAGGCAACATCTGAGAAAAGTCGGGACTGCAGCTATTGATTCAGCGACATCTGGCGACCTACATACTGTTTGGTCTTCCTATTATTGACTACGGTTTGCAAATTGTGGCTCTAATATCATGTAGAAAATATATTTTTAGTTCATAAATTAAAAACTGAGTATGAGTGAGAATATAGTGTCCAGAGCAAACTATGCTAAGAAAGAAAACTATTTAGGAAGGAAACTATAATTAGCCTATTTAAAGCAATTACAAAGGAAATTTTCAAGTTCAACACAATGTGTGTCAGCTTGTAATATCTTGGGGTCACTGACAGTACCTGCAAGATTATGCTATAAAGAGATACAATGAGATTTTGAGCTTGGTCAATGATAAATCATGATGACTTGCAAAACATAAAATGGGAATCAATCTTTCCTTCATCCAACAACTTATCATTTTCCAGGCCTAATATTGTTGAATAACAAGACTTAAACATGAGATTACTTCTAAGTATCGAATTCGTCCAAAAAACTTTTTTACAGAAACAATAGTCAAAGCGAGTACATTCAGGTAAGGAAATTGAAATAATCTCATGAAAAACATAAATAAGAACGACCCCTTACCTGAGCTCTGTGTGAATGAAAGAACTGCCGTTTCTGCAAGAGCACACGACTGGGAAGAAAGGTTCAAAAAGGATGTCTATGTCAAACATTAACTAATATAGATAGCCTTACATCTAAAGATCGCAACAAAAAATTACATAATAGAGATTACCAAAGACTTGAAATCCGAAATACATTTTCTTCCCTAGGGTAAGAACAAACTCAAACTGATATTGTGGGTAACAAGTATAATTTCTAACCAGCTCCATCTTATCAATTCCTTATTGTCTCAATATAAGTTAAATTTATCATCTTCTCAATCAGCAATGTAAGGTCCAACCACAAATCATATAGCCTCATTTCGATGCAAGACTGACACCTAAGTGATGCTCGAATTAGTATTAACAAAGTAATATTAATATACTTGTTCCTCATATTGAAGAGTCTAGTTTGAGTTAGAATAATTTTTGGGAAGATCAATATCAGAATTTTTTTATGAGTGGATATTGTTTATAAACTTTACAAAAAGAAGGTATTAGACTCAAGTCAAATGGAATAAATAAAATTGCTGCTTAACAATTATTAAGTTTAGTAAAAGTATTCTGCTAACAATTCAGGTAGTGAACTTACCTTCTGGGGTCGGATCGTTCAACCGACAACTTCCTGGTCTTTGCAAACTGTAACAATGCAGAAGGTGGGAGGTTGTTTCCAGGTAATGACTGAAAACAATCATGTTCTGCATACGAATGGGCTGTGGCAGATGAAAACCTCGGGCTGGAGGCACCATGTTCTGCACTTTCTGCAATGCATTTGTCAAAATTAGATGCACATCCCGTTGTCATATAACATACTCCTTCCACCCCCAAAAAATACCTAAACTGCTCCCTTTGACTGGTTAAATTGAATTTCTATTGAAGTGCTTGCTTGAATTTACATAGTTTCATAATATTACGCTTCAAGAATATTAAACTGCATGAATATTACCATCATTTGACATCTTATAACATCAAAGATATTAATAAAATTAATATTATATTCTTTCAGAAACACTGACTACTGGAGAATATGGAAATAACTTGACAAGAAATGATTAACAAGTATAAAAACTATATTGCAAACAATGACCATCAGTAAGAAAAAAAGCATGTAAGAAAATATTATCATTCTTGTCATCTCTAAGCAAGTATAACAGAAATAAATTCAGTTTTCAATAGACATAATCTCACACGACATTCCTTCAAGTATAGAACAGAGATAAATACTTCGGAATTGAGACATTGGAATCGGCCAAATGCTAGCGTTCATATCATTGACCAGCTGGTTAGAGAGGAAAATCTTATTCGGGATTTATATTCTATTCAAAAAGTACAACACTTCGGGAATATAAAATATATTGTCTATCAGGAAAAAGGGACTTCCAAAAATGTAAAAAAGAAATACAATTACATTGAACGAATCAAGAAAGCTTGTACAAGAATAAATACCATCAATCTTGTCATGAAGATTAATAGATCCAGGCAATGTTGAACCTGAGACAACTGGATGCACGTGTTTTGAGATTTGAGCACGTCTCTTCAATTTTCTTCGCCTTAGTACCTTAGAACTTCCACATTTCACAAAATCAACAGTTAAATACTAACCACACAAAAGCAAAAGGAATTTTATTATGCTACCTACCAAAAGAAAAATGTTTGTTGCTTAGGATCAACACCATCTGCAACGACCTGCATCACTCATATTAGAAAAGGAAGTTCAGTTAGTACAACTTCAACCTCTCTTTCAACCTGCCCTCCAGTCCCAACATATATTGCCTTGCTTGTAGCAGGCAGTCAAGCAAACATGCTCAATTTCTACAAGACATCAAAGTCACTTTCCACATAGGGCAAGTACCTGACACCTACAACAGCTTTAAACTTTGTACACCATAGTACATAAAAAAAAAAAAAAAAAAAAAAAAAAAAAAAAAAAATTTAAGAAAAATTTAAAAAAAAAAAAAAAAAAGAGAGGATATTATCTTATCAAAAGATATTTCAATTAAGAAGAGTACTGAGTAGAATTTTTATAATTTGATTTATAACCTCCTTATAATCCTTATAATCAAAAATGTAGGAAAATTTGACATCAAATAAATTACACTTTGTTCTTATGTTTCTACTTTGTACCCCTACATCCCCGAAATACTACTACTTTAAATTAACAAATACAAATCAATGAAAATAATAATAAATCACTCTCTGTGTAACTGTTCAAAATAAAGGAGTTACCTCAGATCTCCATATGTCTGCTTTCACAGATACATTTACAGCCTGAAATTCTTCAGTTACCTACACACATGAAAGGGATAAGATTTATGATCCAAATAACAGAAAATAAAAAGTCAAAATTGCTGCATTTTACCAACCCAAAATTCATAGTTGAAGAGATCGTGAGAGGCAGATAAGTGACATGTCAAACCCTGTAAAAGTTGTTAGTAGCGAGAATAAATCCGTAGACAGCTTATCTTCACTAAAGAACCAGACTACAAAACATACCTTAAAGCTTGCACACTTCACCAAGCAGAAAGGACATGCAAAGTCCTCTGTCACTGCATGTACAGAAATTCAGATCCATCAGCACTAATAGAAAGGCAAAGCTCAAGAATTACTACTTCAGTGGAACCGTTAAGAGCAGAATCAAAATATGCTCAGATCCAATAATCATATTTGAAAAAAAAAATGCAGACACAATGCTTAATCTGGAGATAAAGACTGGATGTAACTCACGAGAAACAAAAAGTGACAAAAATGGATCAATGCGGTATCCACCAAAATAGGGGCAAAGAAAGAGATACTTTTTCTAAACAGGCCCTTTAAATTTCATGGTGTAATAAGGACCCACTTTAATTTCTTGTTTAAAAAAGGGTCAAAAGTGAATTTATTAAAAAGGAGTTGGGATCCGCTAACCAATTTTTATTGTGCAATTTGCTACCCATCCAATTGACACGTCATGTTAGAATAATATGTCCAACTTTTCTCTAATTACTCCTTATGCTAAAAAAAATTGACATTTTAATGTAAAATGATGTGTTAATAATTAATTGGTGGACAACAAAAATTGGACAGTGGATCTCAACTCATTAGAAAGGACCTTGCAGACTGCTTCATCTTCTAACTCAAGACCCTAGGAGCGCCTTGGGACCCCAGGAGGTACTGGGAAGATCCTGAACAATAGCTACTCAACTCCCAGAACTGCTCAGTACCCCAAGAGATGCAAATGATCGTATCCCATCTCTCTGATGTTATTTGCCAAAAAATCACTACATTGTTACTTTACATTTGTTATCACATCATCTTTCTCAAAGAAAATTCTTGCCTAACGATTCAATCCTTCATGGCAAGATGGGGATCTAAATCTATATTTGCAGGTATGGATGACTAAGAAGAGGGAAGGACGGGCAAAAAGAAGTGGCTAGGGTATGTTTGTTAAAGAGGTCTATTCACATAATTGTTTCTTAAATAAAGCCTTTGTTCACTTTCTCTCTCCAACTGGTTCCTCTCCAGGCAATCTTCTCAAATAACTATGACCCTAAAAATGACTATGAACTCACCCCTAAAAACGAAACCTGAAAAGCTGTAGTGCCACTTATCACAGAGTTAAAGTCGAACAGAAATGTACTATTATCAAAAGACTTGCTTCTTTTTCTTTTTCTCTAAATTGCCATCAAAAGATGAGTAGGATGACCTAACCATATACAGAGAACAAAAAAGTCCCAACAATTATTCACCATTGAGATGAATAATTGACAGAATCCATACAGCTTTCCGTTTCCAAAACAACGGATATTACAGTAACTCCCCATCAACGTCCCAACAGGCTTCTGTTGCCCTTCTCCTTGAAGATAAAATATATAACAACGGGTTGTTTCAAAACTGTCCACCTTTTCTCTTCCTTCTCTACAAACTCAACTCAATACTATGCTCGTCATTTTCAAGGGACATTTCTGATGTATATCAATGAAGAAAAATTTTGATAAAAGAAAATATTGAACTGAAGGCTTACTTACCCCTAAAGTGAGAATAGAGGCAAGTACAAATTTCTTTTTCTTTTTTTTTTTAAGCGAGATAGAGGTGTCAAACTGGACTTGGACAGCCTGGAAATAGCCCGAGAAATGGTCCGGGCCCTGAGTGGGACGGTTACATGCTGCCAGTACGGCCGAACCAGTTCTTGTCCATGGGCCTGACAGTTAACCAAGGGCCCAAGAAAATATAATATTAAAAAAACTGTAGGTTTGAACCTGCCTTGAATGGACAGGAACTAGCAAGTGCTGTCTTTTATTAAGCCCCTATTAGATTTTACTAAAAATCAGATTTTTAGTAAACTTGAAGTCGAAAAAAATGTGTGGTTGAAGACTTGATAAAAGTTGTGAATTCCGTGAAATGTGTGATTAAAATTAATTATTGATTTTGACTTAAACTTTTATGAACTTTTTAGCTAAACCAACTAGGGGCTAAATGAAAACTGGCGTCAGCCTTGGTATTTGAAAAGACAGGTGCATTTCAAGGTAGTTCTAACATTAAGGAAGAACTTTTGCTCTTACAAATCGAAAAATCAATTGGACACTTATATTTTGTTTAAAAAAAAAAATCATAACTCTGTTCCATTTTTGTCTTTAAAATAATGCAGTTCAATTCAAACCGCACGGACCAGCCTGCTACAGTAACAGGACAGCGGTCTGTTCCAGGCTCCAATGAAATTTTATCGGGTGGGCCAATCCCAGACCATGAACCAACATGGATCAGTTCTGTAGATCCATCTGGCCAAGCCGATGCATCTTCCTGGCAGGATGGGCTACCCGGCATACCCAGTTTGAAGCCTCTAAGTAAGCAAGCTAACATAACCTTAATGTGTTCAAGGGTGTGAATGAATGCGTGAAAGAGATAAAACAAAAATCCTCTATTAGGATCACAGGATGAAGCACATGGTGAGCTAGAGAGTAACAGTTTCAATTTCACATAACATGATTACAGAATATTCCATATCAACTAACTACTACTAGATCTGGAAGATCCCAATTCTTGAATACCAAACACCTCAGTCAACTTGTTGGCCGAATAGAATGTGTTTTGTCAAACACACAGTTCAAAACTTATTTTTATTGTCATTCAAAAATACAGACTCCAGCACATTTATCAACCTTACTGTTCAATCATTGAAGTTCTCCCACTTTCTTTTCTGTTTAAAATAAATAAAGAAAATAATAATACATAGTGTTGCAGCAGTGTATGTAGCAGCAGCAATGAAAGGCCAAAAAGGGATGGAAGAGTTGAAAAACAAAAGAATATATTATCCATTAGAATCTTTAAATCAGCGCAACATTCCATCTTCAAAGAATAAGAAATTAGAACTCAAAACTGTTCAATAACTCAACAGAAGTTAACAGAATTGATTTGGGAATTATATGCTTCCTTCAAAAGCAAAGTTTTAGAATGCAGATAGGATAACAAAAGAAAAGCAGCTTTGCACCTGAAGATGCAAGAACTAATAACAAGTCTAAGACTCCACTCAATTACCACTAGATATGGAAATTCAATCTACCTTCAGTCCTCTGCAACTTATTATTGTAGTATTTGTAGTTGAAAACGACATTCCCAGTCCTCAACCTAGATAGCACGACCAACAGAAAATAGTAAGTTCATCAAATGATGTAGAAGTCTTAAACACTTCAGACTTGGTCCATAATTAGTAAGGTATAAGTGAAGGAGCAATCGGTAAAAGAAACTAGATAAGATGAATGCTACTCCTAATTTCAAATCAAAGGTCATATTTGCTTTTCAAAATGTCACTACTTCAAGTCAACTTCCTAAAATTTTCCTGTTTACAATTAGCAACATGATAACGTGATTATCAAATGGGAGGGTACTCTCACAGGGCCCTTTCACATATTGGTTGAGAAAATTAGCCCCACAAATTGAACTATATTACCCACATCAATGTAATAAGCATGTTTTTCTGGAGTAAAATTCGTGCCAAGTTAAACTAAGGGATTGTCTTGGGGCAGGCATTTGTGGTGTTCAGACAAGGAAGAACATTAAGCAGCAGCAGCTCATAGCATAAATTTCATAAGAGGCACTCCAAGATGATATTTTTTAATGGATGAAGAAGCGACGGAGATCAAGATATAGATAAAGATAGACTTAGAATTATAATATGATAGTCAAGCCTCCGGCTTCTGGACTGGACCAGACAGTCTTGTCTGAGTTCAATAACAGTGCTTCTATTCATTGCCCTCCAAATTACTCAAAAATGAAAAAGGGTCTTGGATTCCATCTTTTTTTCTACATTTTATATACATCTCCAGCTCAACCAAAGTTCCTAAACAGTACAAGGAATGGTCCAGAACAATCTATCTATGCCCGTGTACTATTTTGTACACTGGCTGATTCACCCAGAAGCAGCAGTTGATTGGATGTTCCCTATCTTTTCACACAAAGAAACAGCAACTCATGAAGATGTATTCCTTCTCAGATTATACCCAGCCCACATACCATACATGATGTTGCTTCTGAGCCAAAAACAGGAACCTCTCCTGTGGGCATTTGTCTTCCGAATCTGCTTCCCAGGGAATTCTATTTTGTCTAGTCCGTAGTGAGTTCCAAGCTCCCTAATAAATCAGTAACTGGGTTACTTAACACATTCGTGTAGTCCTTGGTGAAACTGGTTAAAGGGAATATGAGATAAACTAGTTTTGGCATTGCCATGATGTTAGAAAATCTCATTACCTGTGCAAGGAGAAAAGATGCGAAAGATGTTGAATCATTTGCAGACATCTACTGATTTCCAAATGCAAACTAATATAGAATAGCTGCTCCCTTAATATTAATATGTCCAAGCACTGAAAGGAGGACAACAAATACTGAAATTCGGATTTGTTTGGTATAGCGGAAAACCAATGCAAAAGGCTGGCCTTTCAAGCGTCTCTTTCCTACTTCTTTGGTTGAGTCATACTAAAGTGAGAATCTTTTAATCAGGTGAAATTAGGATTCACAGATTTTTCCTATAATCCCATTCCTTAAGGAGTTCTCTAACGAGGATAGAGTATGAAAGAGGAAAAAACAGATTCCCAATCACTAACCCCCTCCTCCATCCCCATCCCAGCCAAAATTTCATCATTTGGAACTTCCCTAACACACTAAGCCACCCAGTCCCCAACCCAAACATAACGACCATGGACTTTCCGCCATCTTGCCCTTTCGTGCAGGAGCTACTCCGTGCATTTTTAGCTTACGTATAGTCTACTGGGGTTGGACCCTAACGTAGTGTCCCCAGTGATTCAATCATGAATTCAATCCAAGTTGGGCCCAACCCCAGTGGATGATACCAGAGCAAACGGACAAGATGATGGAAATTCCGTGGTCATTATACTTCATCTACACCCCCTTCAGCCATTAAAATCAATCCCACACCATCTCTCACTCCCAGTCAGCATCATCATTGCTGCGGACACCATTTCATATACCACAACTTAACCACCAGCAATTGCTGCACCACACCGAATTTTCTTCCTTTTTCATATGGGCCTAAACTTAATATTGATCATTTAACAAATGAAACAGCCATGTGATAAGTTTAACGAACTTATTTACATAAATTATTTATTTTCTTATGCATATTTTTATAGAATTTATCGTAACTTTTATTTGAGGTCAAGTATTTAAATATTATATAAGTTAATAAAATATATATCAATATTATACTTATTTTGTAGCTCGTATTAAATAACATAAATTGGGCTCAAGAAGAAATAATTTTGAACTATTTATATCCGAATTATCTTGATAGAAAGGAAAGTAATCTATATCCTATATTTTATTAATAATAATAAAATAATTATAAAAAAAATGGAAACTATCATTTCATTGCAGGTACGGTTACTTGGAATTTGAAAAGTAATATTATAATTTAAAAAATTAAACGTAATTAAATTCATTAATTTTGATAATATTTAATTAATTTAATCCATAAATTCTTAATTTACATCAAATACGTTTGGAATTAAATAATTAAACCGAAAAGTCATTTGATCAGCTTGGAATTACGGATATATGCGTGTGAATTATATTACATGTATATAGTTAAGTTAGAATTTTCTTTTCTACATTGATACATGCACACGCTACTGGAAATAAATCCCTTTAATATTAGTCTCAATCATATTTTCAGATTAATTTGGTATTAAGTTAAGGTAATAATATATAGTGCAAGGTGCTAAATTCTTATTTCTTGATGTTTATATAAATTTTAGCATGAAATACTATCAAGCCTCTGGGTCGATTTCTATGTTAAATCCTTTGAGATAGACCGTTAGATTAAATATGTAAATTCTACGGGATATAGGAATTCTTAAAAAATTTATTGAGCTATTGAATATTACGACCAGTTTGCTCTAAATCTAAAAATGTGGTATTTTATGTCATTTTATACTTATATCATATAAATAAGAATATGCACGTATTTTTATTGAATATTTTTAAAATATTCACTTCTACAATAATTTTACATATTAAAACGAGTTGCATGAACGTGTGACAGATTGACCAAGTGATGCTTATGGAGTCGTCAAGTAAAATTTCTAGAAATGATAATTTGCAAAAATTTTATTTGAAGAACATATTTATGTTAAATTTTATGCACGTTATTTAATTTTTTTTTAGTGTTTGAACATTTAACGTTCTGTGTTATATTTAAATTGATGATTTCAGATCGTAGTATTTCAAGATTTTTATTTAATATGAAAATTCTCACTTAAATTGTTAGTTTATCATTATCGATTTACCGATCAAATTTAAAAAAAAAGAAGATGAATTTCCGCTTAAATTAGATAAAGAAGATTCTTGGTAACACTTGAAGTCTATTTAAAAAAAAAATGGAAAAAAGAAGGAAAGAAATAGATTTCGGGGCGTTACAAATGCCATGGTGGAAAAGATCATTTTTTTTCTTCCTAGTGGAGGCAATACAACCACAAGCTCAGACTCGTCCAAGGGATGAGCCAAGTTCAAATATTTGCTCGACTCGGCCCTAAGTTCGTGGGCCTTACAAGCCCTTTTTTTAATAAAATAAATTTTTAAACAAAAAAGAGCAACTTTTTTAAAAATTAATAAAATAAATTAAAAAATGAGGCAAAAAAGGAGTCAATCTAAGAGTTGGCTTGGCTCGTGAAACAATTTTGTGCTTAACCTCATGGCTCATTTCAAAACGAGCCTGAGCCGCCTATAGGCTAAGCAAGGATGAGCTGAGCCTACGAACTCGAGAGCCGCTTGGCCTATTTGGCACCCCTATTTATTACTTATTGAGTTGTATGTTTATGGAAGGCATTTGATGTTTTAAGAAATTTTAAGTTTATATTGGTAAATTGGCGGATTTCTTTTGGTTGATGTCATATGTTGCAAACTCAAGGATATTTAATTTGGGTATTTCATGGTCCTTATGCGGTGGTCGTGTAATGGAAAGGTAATTTGTATTGGTAATTTGACGGATTTCTTTTGGGTGATGTCATACGTTGCAAACTCAAGGATATTTAATTTGGGTATTTCATGGTCCTTATGCGGTGGTCGTGTAATGGAAAGGTGATTTGTAGTGGTTATAAATTTCACATTTGATGATAACAACATTTCCAAAACAAAAGGAACGAAAATGGCCATTTCTCCACATTTTATTAGGAATGGCCTTTTCATTGAAACTTAGAATCCAAACATAGCATAAGATCAAAGTTCAAATACAGAAGTGTGGAGAGAAAAGGACCAAGAATTCACCTGATAATGTGAGGCAGCAAAGTAGCAGGAATGTCGCTATGTGTAAATGAATCGTAAGGAGTTTTCCATTTGGCTCCAAGTTCTTCTGCTGCAATGCTGACTTGCAGTTGCTGTAACAAAGGCTTCAGCATAGATAATAACAATCAGTATAAGGCAATTTGTGATCAGAGCAACCTCCAAAAGTAATTACAGAATTCCAGAGTCAAGTGCCAGAGCGAACTACCACAGCTCTGTGGTCATTGGGACTCTGAAATGAAACACATCTGTCTTCTCCCATACAGCTTGTCTGGGAAAAAGGAACAAATGTTTCTTAGAAAAATATCAGAGAGAATTATGACAAAATAAATTTATCATAACCTAAAAGTTCCCTCATATAAAACTTCCCTACCCATGACTAAATTGAATCAAGCCATCAAGGTGCATCATACCACAAATCCACAAAGCAATCAAAAGAGGGTATGTAGAAGCAGAATATGACATTAAATTCTAGATGTTTTTGCTTACTAATTCATCATACAAGATACAGAGTTAATCTGTCCTGATTAAAGAGTTATAGTTCAGTTTTATGCAAGTCTATATTCTGGTGTTAATTATGTTTGAAAACTTCAGAGTCAAGAAAGCCTGTTCGTTTTCCTAGATTAAAATATTATGAATTTAGTTGATGTTTGGAATTCTAAGAGTCATTTCAATGTCTACTGGTCATTGTTTAGTATAGAAGAGTCTGTGTACTGGAAAGAAAAGCAGAAGTTCATTTCAAGTAAAATATCAAAATTATATTACATCTCTTGCTTCTAATTTCAAGGTTTTCTTCCCAAATTTTACCTTAAAGAAATCTGGGTCCTACGTTGATTAGACTACCAAATTTTGCCTACAATTCTGTTACGTACATAGAGTATAAAAAGGCCCTCCAGGATGTAAGGCTAGGGGGGTTACAAATTCGTATCCAAACAGAACAAGCGTGTGCACTGAAAACTATAATACTACCATTGTCGGAACACTGTGTGAGGGTTGAGTAAAAAATCTATTAACAAAAGGTAAGCATATCTTTTCTACGCATGACAAAGACAGCGACCAAGATGTAAAGCATTCCAATGGCTAAGTTTTCATATAATCAAATATGTCCAGTGTCCACACAGCCAGAATGGAAACGGGATAAAAGGAGAACAGCAGTAGAAAAGAAAAGTAACATCAATGATATCAACTTGTAGGTCTATGATTAATTTTTGTCCTTCCTGGTAAGACCGTAAGGTTGTGAGTGGTTTCGTTTACAAACTACAAGTACTTTTTGGATTAATTACCAGAGTATAAAAATCTTTGAAATTGCCAACAAAACATTGTGAAGTATAAAACAAAGTTAATAGCTATATCACACAACTATCTTCCAGGTTACTCACCCACCAGAACATACACTCATACAGAATGTGTATCTGAATACGGTTCTGAAGCATTGTCAAAAAAGTAGGTAGCAGCATGTCCAATGAACAGTAGTTTCAAATTAGCATACCTTCATGAAACAGGATTGTAAGTCAACAGTTGAAAGCATCTCAGCTCTATCCCCAGTACTCAAGTTTTGAGACTTCTCCCATGACAAGTGGAGTAACTCCAATGGAATCTTACCCAGCAAACAGTGGCCACCAACATTTGCTACCACGATATAGGGAACAAAGTTAGAAGGTTCAATTCACTTTTCAATTGCAAAAATAACAGAGAAGGTCCAAAGTTCAGACAGATGGGCATGCACATAAATTTTATTTAAAGTGGAAAGGATGGAGGATATCCATGTATCCAAGACATTACAAGTTGGGAAGGAAGAGTTCTGGACAGGGAACCCTGGATACAAGGAAATACAGAAGAATTCTTACAAAACAATTTGCATCACAATTTTATGCAATAGATCCATTCAAGACCTAAATGTTGGAATAGAAGACGACACCAAATGCTATCCCATCATTAACTTTCTCTTGGATGACTCAAAACTCAAAAATAGATAAATTGGTGGATAAATTTTATTCAATACAATCAAACACATGCATACAAGATGGTTCCTATCCTAGAAAGGAAAAGTAGATCTATTATTATGTCAATCCTATCTAAATTAGACTACATTATCTATGTCTCTACATTCTCTCCCTTAAGTTCGTGTGTAAATATCATATATGTCCAACTTGGATAGTGATGTATAGAATTGTCCACCAGCAAGAGTATAGGTCATTATCTCAGCTCAGCCCAATGATCCACAATTTTAATATATGGGAGCTCTAAACTCGTAGATTCAAGGTTATTCTTGCCATAATTCCCATCAAGTTTAACGTGCTTGATACGATTATTCTTGGTTAGATCAAGCTGTATTGAGTTATTTGCTATCTCAAGTGTAGTTGTGTTATCACATAAAAGCACCATGGATTTCTTCAGACCAAAGTCAAGCTCTCTAAGAAGAATGTTCAGGTAGTAACATGAAGGGTGTGGTATTTGGCATCAACACTAGATGGTGATACCACATCTTGTTTCTTACCTAAGAAGCGCTGATACTTGTAAACTTGTTACGTATACATATTCGATATGTATCAAAGCTCTGATACCCTCCGATACATATCAGATACTTGTTTTTTAATTATTTTATATATTTTTATATTTTTTAAATTTTCGATACATATCCGATACTTATTTTTTAATTATTTTATATTTTTGTATGATTTTCGATAAGTATCTGATACTTTATGGTTCACATGCACCTTCAATCAAAACACTGCTTTGAAACTTCTTGTGTAACCTTCTTCTTCATCTAGTGCTGAAAGAAATTGAAGTACATACTCTTTTGTGTACTCTACAATAAGGAATAAAATAACTCCACAACGAGCCGAAAAATTGATTTTCATTCATAACAATTTACGTCTTCTATAAAGAAAATTAGATCTCTATTCGAAAGGAGAATCCAAAATGTGGGACATTGCCGAAAACTCATTTGATACTCTTGGAGGTGTTGGACTACTTGAGGTTCCTAATCTATCTTTAGATGAGCTAAAGTTGGAGGGAGTGTTTGATAGAAATTAAAATTAGATTTTTTAATAGATTACAATAGAAGTTTTTAAAATGTGTAATTGAAAAGTTATGGGACCCATGAAAGATGTTAATATTGATTGTTTGACTTTAACTTAAATTAAAATTAGATTTAATCCAAACCAAACAAGTTCTTAATGATAATGAAGAAATTGACATTAATAATGTTTAAGAAAATGAAATTTTGAAAATTAATGATTGATATAAAGTGCTTTAATATTTTATTTTATTTTCATTATTATGCTTCTATATTAATATTTCTTTTATATTAATGAAATTATATTGAATTTTATAACAGTTATAATTTTTTCAAAAAAGTCATATTAGCGTATCCATATTGTATCGTATCCGAATTGTGTATCTATATCCGTACTTCTTAGTTTCTTACTTTTCTAATTCACCAAATTGCCTCCAAAGAACAATACATACTTTGTTTACATACTCTCAAAAGTAGATGCACATTGCGAAATGAAGATTTTTAAGTACCCCAAGATATAGTTTTATTGCATTCATGGGCTGGTTGAATTTTATAACAGTTATAATTTTTTAAAAAAAGTCATATTAGCGTATCCATATTGTATCGTATCCGAATTGTGTATCTATATCCGTACTTCTTAGTTTCTTACTTTTCTAATTCACCAAATTGCCTCCAAAGAACAATACATACTCTCAAAAGTAGATGCACATTGCGAAATGAAGATTTTTAAGTACCCCAAGATATAGTTTTATTGCATTCATGGGCTGATCACTCGATTATGCATAAAATTGACAAACTACACTTGCTGCATAAGACAAGTCATGTCTTATACATGTTAGATAGATTAACTTCCCTACTAATCTTTGATATCTCTCGTTGTTCGTCGGAATTTTGATAGATATATAAGCCATGGTTTACCTTAATGGAAGTGTCTACACGCACTAATACCAACTTGGGGGAGTATTGAGAATCTTCATATGTGTGAAATATTTCAAGTTGTAATTATGTGCCGTGATTTATTTCCTTGTATAGTGTAAAGAGTTCTACAGCTAGAGATTGTCTAGAAATGGGTCATTCAATTATAAGATTTATTAGGATGGTCAATCCCTTTCCATTTTTCTACTTTCCTTGTTTAGTCTGGATTCTTTCCTATATGTACAGAATTCTTTTGTGAAAGCAATGAAACTTCAATCATTCCAAAAACCTATTGAGTGTCCATGCAACATAGGTTCCTAGTTTTAAGCATATGTGATGCTGGCGAAATATGACCATATGATCTTTTTTATATTTTTTTTGGGCATATGCATCTAATGGTAATATTTCTCCAACTTAAAGGATATCTCAACTCCAACATACATTTCAAATGCATCCATATTGTGTGAGTTTGATAGCACTGACTTATAATAGAATGATTCATCTACTAAGCTATTCGAACACTTCGTAGTGATCAACAAAAGCAATCGTTGAGCAATCCCTGTCGTGACAGCAGAGTTAACCTTTTTTATTGCTTTTTAGAATGAGACATGTTTTCTAACCCCTTTGCTCATTCGCTGAAATAACAAACATGTACTGCAGATAGTTGACTAGCCCGCACAACTTCAGCTCATCATTTACCAAAGCACAGAGCTGGAAATGTTGGTCTCAAACCATAATAATACATATGGGGACCAGCTTCTCTTGCAAATTAGGTCATATTTTTTATAGCATATAAAGCAAAACCATAGAACTAAAGAAGTTTTCCAACTGATGCACAACTCACCTGGAATTGATGACAAATCCATTTGGTCCTTTAACAATTCCGCTGTAAAAAAAAATATTGAAGTACTTGAAAAATTGTAATGGAAGTACACGTGGATGTTTTTGAATGTTGATAAATACAATAATGTGTCATACCAAAGCTCACAAACAAGATAAAAAAAGACCCAGACTTGACTTCAGCCGATAGCTTAATTATCTCGGGCAGAATAAATTTTGCTTGATCTTGATACATCTCTTCAACTCCTTTACAGGTTGCTAAGAAACATGCTCGGCTGAAATGATAAACTGCAGAGTTCTGCATCCAAGTGGAACCAGAGGAAGCACATAGTAGCCAAGTAAAGGAAGAACGAATAAACATCCAATGACATGAAGTGAACTCACATACTACCTCAAGAACTGCATGACTGTTAACTGGTCTTGCTAACAATATACACAGAGGAAAAAGACTTTGAACTTGGGATCCATCATTTACAGATGATGGCAGAGAGATTGACATTTGAATCCTGGGAATAGAAACGGAAGCAGTCAGAATAGTTACATTGTTATGGTAGTAGAACAAACAAGTCTTCGGACAAAGCAAAATGAGGAATTTTCCCATCAGTATCTCTGAGGTAGTACATAGTATAAACACATCTCAATAAAAGCAAAACAAGGCACTTATGTGTCTCATATGACAACATATTTTTTCCTATAACAGCATTCCCAAGTCAGAAGACCCATATATATGCCGCAAGGCAGAGACACAAAGAAAGTAAAATAAAATCAAAGGTTAATCATCGAAGATAATTCAAATGGGGGAGGGAGGGAGAGAGATCTTCTCGTGTCATCTACTATGGTCCTCAGGATACATGGGACTCTGTTCTAGCTCTGCAAATTTTTGTGCAGCTACATTTTATTGTTTTTGAACAAAACACTAAATCTTACCATGTCCATGAAGAAACACACATTATCACATCTGCTTGAGTACAAGTGGCCATAGTTGTTAAAAGCACATCTAGATGCAACAAACATAGAGGCGTACAGGTGGTGCATGCTTTTACTTCAAGGAAGTGTAAAAAGGCACTTGCTTTACTGAACCGTGAAGGCTCATTTTATTTTCACACGGCGAGTTGTGCTTCACAACATACATGTTTGTTAGTTGTTTATAATCAATTTTAAATTATAAATAGATGGAAACTGGTGGTGAATAAGTGGGTAGTGCTTGTGTAGTCCATGAAATTTGTGGATAAAAATAGATTTAACTGATTATAAACATTTTATAAGCCCAAATACCGGCATAGAATTCGATAATATTCTTATGAGTTATGTCTAATGGCTAATACAATAGCAACTTAGAAGCAAAAATACTTGCTGACTAAAAATAATGACTAGTTTTCAGAGAGTTTTACCGTTTTTTGTGCTTTGCTTGTATCTTGTACTGCAAACATCTTTGCAGAAAGGATGGCTACAGAAGAAATGCTTTCAGTTAGAAAGCCATATACAGCATAACCAGTATCTATAACTGAAATACTCAACCTTCAAAAGATGGTAAAATTACAGTACATACATGCTATTGTTCATATCAAAAGTAGACAAGCTCACAGTATAGAGCAGTAAAATAACAACTAGATTATATTTGCATTATTAAACAAACAACAGCCAGAACTTAATAAAGATGCTTACCAGATGTATAGCTGTGGCATATGCATATATTGTCAATGTAAAATAGATGGTCTAGAAATAACAAGACCATTTACCACAAGAAGCAGAACAGAAAAAAGAATGAGAAAAAATTAAAATCAGCAGAAGAGAATGAAGAATAATACATTTCTAACGGTCCGACGCTGAAGTATATTGTACAATTCTACTGGTTTGCAGTAAATTGAGAGGCTCTCCTCAGCTGCAATTTGTTCTTCTGCAGATAAATGCTCACGAGGATCTTCGCGACACATATGATATGCACTTCTAGAGTAACTGCAATTGCAAGCAGAATTCCTGTTTCACGGATTAGAATACACTGATCACTCTATTCATCCCAAATATTCTCATTTCATGGGCAAGCATGCATACATCTTCTCACTTCAAATGAGGAAACAAGATACCTAATTCATGAGTATAGAGAATAAATTTACCTCCCATTTGGCAAACTTGTGAACTGACAGAAATTTCTTGATGAATTCAATTGTTCACAGATTGCAAAATACATTGAAAATTCATACGAAAAAGTCAGTTAGCACATTTTCTTATCTCATCAAAGCACATATATTTCTTTAAATGGTACAAGCGGTGGATCTGATACATAATAGCATTGAAACTACAATAATAACTTGGGTTTCAGCCCACTGTACAGCTACCTCACCCAAAGCTTGAATAATTAAACAAAGATAGACAGGAATGCACTTGATAGGATTAAATTCACTGAATGATGCTGGAATTTTGCAATTAAGGGTATCCATTAATCTATAATCACTATCTATCGTTCACTTCAGGCTCCAAAAATGCTTTGAAGTCTCAACTCACGACAAACGAAATGCAGCTGCTCTCAGGCTACCATTTTCATTCTGCTTCCACTTCCTTTCAATCGATGGTCTCAGCCTAAGACTACAGATAGTCGGATATAATAAGATAAAATAAAAGAGAGAACGAGAATAGTGCATCCAAAGAGAAAAGATACAGACCACTCTACATGTTTGTGGGCATCATCTGGTCCGCTAGTGCAAGCTCTACAGCCAATATTACGAAAAAAGTGACATAATTTGAAAGAGAACTTACGCAGGTTTATGATCCACTAGAGGTATGCCTGGCATTCTTGTTATACAGAATCCATATAATAATCAAAGCTCCGTGAACCTTGTATATTTGCGGATTCAAACCTGGAAGAAGCACCGTACCAAATCCCACCTATTACACTGGAGAAGATAAAATTTTAAAAAAATCTCATTTACAGAAATGGGAAGAGTGAAACTAATAATAAAAACTTGATAACGCAACTTTTGTTAAGGAATTAATTGCATTTAATACACCTTTGAAATAAAAATGTTATCTTCACATTTAAAAAATAAAATAATTTAAGTACTCTTCCTTTTACAGAAGAGACTCAAAGATTAAGACTTGAGTGCATTTAATTTCTGAATTTTCTCATCAACAAAGAACATCTAAATATGCGGATTAAACTATATACAACACACATATATGATATCAATATACGTACTATGATTGACGAGAGACGCATGGATAAGTGGATACAAAAGCTAGGGGATGATAATAAAACAACAGAATCGAAGCAAAAGAAAAATTAAAAAGGCTAAAAAAAATATATACCGAGAATGATCATCGAAACCCTAATTTTCACTTGCCTAAATTAAAATTCAGAAACTTTGTTTTAGTTTCAGTAGTAGTGTATAAATTCTCCCATAAGACTTCAAATTTCAATAAGAGCGTCTCACATCTACATTTATTTATAAGACTATTAAAATTTACACAGAGAGAGGAACCGTTTATCAGTCGAAGCAGATGGTCACCAGCAGCGGCTGACGATGGTGGCGTTTGACGGCAGCCGGTATTACAAAAAAACGAAGACACGTGTAATTTTCTTGGAATCGTCAGTAAGTACGTGCCACACTGATAAGAAGCCCGCAATTTTAAATTAGGAGAAAGCTGGGTGTTTATGTACATCAGGGTATCACTGATTCACTCGCATGAGTGTGCGAGGCTACTCTCAAATGGGTCCCATGCTCTGTCAACCTCCTTATCTTTATGTATATAAAATCATGTACATCAAGCACGATTCTTTTAAATTAAATTCTTATTAGATAGGAAAATAATGAAATAACGGTAAAAAAAATTGATTTTAATTGGGTTTTAAGCTGTAGCAAATATGTTCTAATATCGCCTGAACGTTCGTGATTAGATAATTCCTTTATGCCCTTGTTTGAGCCACATTATTAGAATGAAAATGTATTTTTATAGTGTATTGATGGAAAATGTGTGATTAAAAAATAAGGAAAAATTTTAAATTTGCGTATAATATTATTTTATTGAAAAATGTGTGTTGAAATGAAGTCGAATCACTTTTGAATAATGTATTTTTTGAAAAATTGTGGCTCAAATAGGGCCTATATTAACTCCTACTTGATGGAATCAAAATAGTAAATTTTGATAAAAATTAATGAAATGTGTAATTGAAAAATTATGGATTCCATAAAAATATATGGTTAAAATTGATCGTTGACTTTGACTTAAATTAAAATCATGGCAAAACAGAGACTAATAAATTATATAATTTGATCTTTAATATCGTATTATAATATCACATAAATTGATGTTATATAACATTATTTTTCAAATATAGGTTAATTTTTTATGTATTTGTCTCACATAATCTAAATTATTAATGCCCAAATTGTACGTGATTTTCAATTTAATTGACAAGAAATATTAAACGGTTGATAATTTTGCTTTTCAATTTAAATCATCTAAAAATTATGTCGATTATCATCCACATCATCTATTCTAATTGTATAGATTCATTTTCTTTATTAATTTAGCACCTATTTGTCTACTATTATTTAAAAAAACGAAAAAAAAGGTTTCTCAAATTCATTTTCAACCTTACATTCTCACAATAAAATATTTTACACGTGAACTCAAATTTATTTTTTTTTAACCACATTTTCCAAAAAATCAATATTTCAAAACTTATTTTCCTACTTTAATTATAGACAAGCGGGGGCTGAATAGATTGGGGATGAAGTTGAAACGGCCTCATCTTATTGGAGAACAGGGACGAACGAGAACATGGTCCAAACGCAATCTCATCCCGACTATATTTATATTTAAAAAATTAAAATTATTAAGTGAATATTGAGACGTAAAAAAAAATATTTTAATCTTGTCCGTCCTACCTCCCAAAAACCTCAATGGGATACGTGTTGACCTATGGTTGACTTAATATTCAATATTTTGATCGTAACAAACAAGATTAATTTTATTTACTACAATTATATTTGAGTGGTTACAGCTATTATAACAAATTGATCAATTAAGGATGAAAAAATTGCTACTGCTATTGAAAGTTTTGCAAAAGGTGTTCAATGGAAGTCAAGCATAATCAAGCATTCAAGTCAAATAATTCAAGACTAAAGCTTGAAAGATGCCTGCAAAGAAAGATCACAATGAAAAGCGTACGAGATGATATCAAAGAAAATCGAGACAAGAAATTCAAAGGCTAAACATTGAAGAAATTTCGAAACAAGATCAAAAAATATGCATTCTAGATCATATATAAAGGTATAACACTTTGATTTTTAGTAATGAACGACAATAGCTCAAAAATCATTTTGTGCACGAAAAATTATTTTCACTACTACTTGCATAAAATGTTTTCCTTTTGACAAGAAATGTAAGGTTGATTTTTCAAAAAGTCATACTTGAACTTAAACCATGATTCTTTAATAAAAAATCTAAAAAAAAAAAAGAGTCAACGATCCGATCAATGGTCAACTGAACGTCCGGTGCACCAACGGTCAAATTTTTTACCGTTGTGACTTCTGACCAATAACGGTTAGTTTGGTTGTCCGGTAAGTAGCAGACGTCCAATAGGGTCGTCCGATTGGTCAAAAAATTTTCCGTTTTGATTTCTATAAATACCACTTCACTTTCATTCATCAAGATAACAATGAAGAGAGTTTTCTTATTAGATATATTTGTAAAAAATCTTCTCTGAGCTCGACTTTTACTTTCATTTCATTTATTTTTTTCATAACAAAAACTTTGATTGTTGAAATCAAAACTCTTGAATGAATTTATTTCATCAAAGTTTTTCATCTTTTCTCGTTCTTAACTTATTTATGTCAATTTTGAAAGAGATATATATTATTGAAGAAGTTATTTGTACTTACATTGCTTATACTTTTCTATTTTTTCATATTGAAAACTTTCATTGTTGAATCAAACTTCTTGAATCATTTCTCTCATCAAATTTGTCTTATTTCCTCGTGCTTAATTTATTTATATTTATCTTAAAAGAGAGATATATTTTTGAAGAAGTTCTTTGTGCTTAGATTACACAAACTTCTCTACTTCTTCATATTATAAAATCATCAAGGTTTCTTATTTCTCTCTCTGTGCATAACTTATTATATTTATTCATTAAAAGAGATATATTCTTTGAGAAGATATTTTTGAACTTACATAGTATTTATTTCATCTTATTCTTCTCATATAAAAACTTTGATTGATTGAATTAAACTTGTAAAATCATTATATTTATCTCATTTCTATCTTAGTACTTGATTTGTTACAATTATTCGTTAAAAGAAAGATATTTCTTGAAAAATATTATTTGAATTTACATTGCATTTATTTTTTCATAATCTTCTCATTAAAACACTTTGATTGATTGAATCTAACTTTTAATTATCATATTCATCAAGGTTTTTCATCCAACACTTGAACTATCAGTTGCTACTATTTATTGAAATGATGAATCTATTTCTTTTTTGATACTTAATCGTGTTCCTATAATTTATTAAGAGAGAAGTTATCACTTGTAATATTTCTTTCTTTTGCTTTTTATTGTGGGTCAAGTTAAGGTCCTAAAAAACTCAACGTTCTGTAAGAATTGGTGCTCCTTATTGTAAGTCACCGTATAGGTCATATTGAAGTTCCATAAAACTCAATAGTGTGGGTTGTATTGAGGTCCTGTAAAGCTCAACGTTGTAAAGGATAGATACTTCTTGTTTGTAAGTCGTCGGATGCATTATAAAAAGTTTGATTGCACCATAAGTCAATCAACATAGTGGAAAAGACCTTACTCGTGACGAAAAGTTTGGTAACAGGGGATGTAGATCGTTGTTTGGATCGAACCTTCATAATATATCGTTTGCATTCTCTCTTCCTTTTACTTATCTCTTTTATACTAGCACTTATTATTTGAATTTATCTATTCGATCTTTACTTGCTTTCTTATTTGAGCGGATTTATTTAATTGTTCCATTTGCTATCATATTGGTTTAAATCTAGAATTAATTTTTGAAAAAATTTTAAAAACCAACTCACCCTCCTCTTGGTTAGTCATTCATGAGCTTTCGACAAGGAATGGAGAGGGTCTTCCCTTTTCGATCCGTTGCCATCTTAAAGTCCAGCCCTAAATTTCAAAATATATAGATAGTAGAGTTTTGATCTAATCAGAGTATGTTTGATAAATGTTTTTAGACGATTTAAATTATAATTAGATAAAAATTAGTAATAGATAAATAGATATTACTTGTCGATCTATCGTGTGATTAGATCCTACGCCACCACAAGTTAGAAGCAAAAGAGAAAGTTTGTATGGATCATTATGAAGAAATATTCAAGAGAAGAACAAACACATTCGATCATTAGTTGACCATTTTGCGCTCTAAGGTTGAACCTTTGCATTTGGGATCTCTGGTATCTCGAATTGAATCCAACGTGGCATCCAGGTCACAAATAAATACAAGTACCAGCAGAAAAGTTTAGCATTTTACTACAAGATGATGCTTGTTAATGTTAATTTTCATTTATAAGTTAATTTAGAAATTTAATCATATGTTCAGCATATACAGTTCTAAAAAATGTGACATAATTTTCTTTTATATTCAAGTATTTCACCCATATGCTTAATTTTCTTTACACGATGGCAAAATACTAATTCAGATCTCATTTCTTGCAAATGTCATTGCGCTTTAGTGCATGTAATGAAAAGATGTTTTGGTGTATGCATAATTGTGATAGGCACACGACTGTTAAAAACTGTTAAACGATGATAGAATTAAATAAATTTTGTAACGCGTTATTCAAAAATACTATTTTTCACAAAATTTTAAGTTTTTCGATTGTAGAGTTTGCTTGTATTCTGTCATCGAAATCTTACTATACAACATGCTTTGACACGTGGACAAATAAAGAACACCAAATAATCAACAATGAAAAGTATAAACACAAGAAGATAGAAGACAAAGAAAATGTCAAGTTGGGTGAAATTTAGAACTTGTGTGTCCAGAAGTTATGAGCTTTATTTGAGGAATTTTGATTTTGAATATTTGCTTAATTTTGGTGATCAAGAATATCGCCTTCCCTAAAGTAATTATTGCTACTGTGTTGCCATCCATCCTTCACCTCTTCTTCAAAGACGATAATTCTTTTTGTATTCTGTCTTTTCTTGTAAGTTGGTCTTCTCTCGCTTCTTCAAAGTTGATCACTTGTTTACGCAGTTATTCAGTTTTTAAACTATAATAATATTAGGCTCCTATTTGTGTAAATTAAAATCAAATTTTTAGTAAATTTTGATAATAATCGATGAAATCTGTAGTGGAAAATTTGTGTAGGTCCTGTAAATTTTGTGTTTAATATTAATTGTATAATATATGCATTTGATAATATTTTCACTCAGCCCAAAGATAAAATTGGATTTTTCAGTAAATTTTAATAAAAGTTAATAAAATATGTGATTAAAAAATTATATATTTCCTAAAATGTGATTAAATTAATTGATTTTGACTTAAATTTTAATCAATTTTTTGAACTAAACCAAATAGGAGTTTAATATACCAATACATTACTAAAATAGCTCTGTAGCTAAATTTAATTTTAAACAATTTTTTTTTTTCAAATATTTACCAACACACATCATCAAAACATTTTCAAAAGACTCTCTATTTTTAAAGGACATATTTTATTATTTGAAGAGCGAAAATTAAAATTTTAAAATACTCCAACAAACTCTTTATTTTTAACACTTAATTTTACCTATATTTATTTTAACTAGTTTTTCTCTAGATTATTTTATTTTTTTCTATGTTGAAAATTGAAACACTTTGAATATATTTAATTATAAAAAATGGGTTGATTATTTAAAATAACGAACATCTCATGTTTAAAGAATCTCTTCGATATGCTTTATGGATAAAATTACTACCAGAACTTAACACTTTGGCAAACTATTTTATTACAATTTCAACTCACACAAATCACCATCTTACATAATCCTTCCCTTTGCAACACCAGTTGCCTAAACATCAGGAAGCAACTCGACTCTGAAGACCAAGTCCGACGTACCAGAGGACCAGGTATAGAACAGTAACAAAACAACAAACAAATGTTACTAATAAGTAACAGTTTTTAATTTGTACAGGCCACTTCGAATCCAATGAACTTGAAAGAATGCAACTTACATAAGATGCACATCGAGCATGGATTACTTGATCAATAGGTGATAACAAACTTCGTCTTTTGGAAGTATTGGGGAGAATTTTATCTTCACATGTCAACGGCAGGCAACTACGAAGAGCAGCAGCCACTCTTCTGGGCAACAGGTTGTCCACGAATCTGCACAGTGGATGGCCTTGCATTGCTAGATACAGGCTGACTTGCCATTCTGCAATTTCCGGAAGGGAAGTTATGTATTACAAATATCATACAAACGAGGTAACAAGATACCCATAAGATAAGAGTACGAAGTCTAAAAGGACAATAAACAAGCAGGATCAATATAAGTTTTTATGGTCTGTCTGTGCAACTTATGGTGCCAAGAGCTAAACAAAACAAGACGGCAGAATATGTTAAAAATGGTACCTATTCTTAATGTCAGCAACCATTGCCATGAATGCCTGTTCAACATTGGTAGCATTTTTGGCACTGGTCTCCATGAATGGAATGCCAATTTCATCTGCAAAAGCCTTTTTACGACAGGAAATACACGTTATGTCAGTCAAAACTAGTCTGCTCAAATACAATAATAAGCTGGCTAAACAGTGATTTGTACCTTAGCTGTTTCATAGGGCACGGCTCGGTTCTCAGCGAGATCACACTTATTTCCGACCAGAAGCTTGTTCACATTTTCACTAGCATAGCGATCAATTTCGTTCAACCATTGCTTCACATTATTGAAGCTTTCTTGGTCGGTTACATCATACACTATCTGCCAGAAGAGTCGACAACACAGGTCATGAAAACGGGGACACAAAGGTCAACGGTAAGATATAAGCGTTGAAAGAAACTTACAATGATGCCGTGTGCACCACGGTAGTAGCTACTAGTTATCGTTCTGAAACGTTCTTGTCCTGCAGTATCCCACTGCAAGCAACAGAAGAACAAAGGTGAAAATCAGCCTGCTCCATCAACAGGAAAGGAAATAAAGAATCACAATCTTGCAATACAGTGTTGGAGATACAGCATCAAAATATTCACATAACTCATCAGTTGAACAGAAAAATTATACGGAACAAGTTAGATGGACAATGTAATGGACATGCATGCAGTTGACAGGCAAGTATAAAACCCTTCTTAAGGAAGAACATTTCAGATCTTATGACCGGCCCAAAATAGTCAAATTTTCAGTTAAAAATCAAAGCCTTAGTGCAGATACAATTTACTAAAAGTTGTAATTGTAGTCATTATTTTTTATGGCAGCTATTAATAATGCTGCTTTACTTTATCAGGCGCCTCAGACTTTTCCTTTGCATCCCAGAATAAAAAAGCATAATATATTGTTAATTGAATTAGATTGAAGAACGTGAAAGGATTTATCCTCAAAAGTTGAGACAAAGAAAACGAGAGTTATCCCTTATGTACAGCTTCTCACATCTACGTAATAATAAACCAATGTATGTAACTACATAATATTTCGGTTAAGTTCAATTAATCGGGTAATAAACCATCCAAGAACCTTAACATAAGATAAGAACTTATGAATATAATATTTAAAAGTAAATTAGTAGCTCTACCAATATGTGCCGAGGACAACAAAAAATGCCACGACCCTTAATCGTAACTCAAAGGACTAAATCAAGAGATAGTTTTAACAATATTAAACTACAGTTAACAATATTAAACTACAGTCATAGTTCAGACCAAAATTTAGATTCAAGACGAGAAACTTACAATTTGCAATTTGATTGTCTTCCCATCTTGCTCCACAGTGCGTATTTTCTGCAACAATAGAAACATAATTTAGCCCCCGTTTGGCCCCCCATTAAATTCGATTTCATTTTTCTCTCTTCTAGTTTCAACCACATAATCTTCTATAAAATAATATTACATGTAAATAAAAAAAAAAAATTCCTTCTTTTTCAACCACTTATTTTTCGAAAAAGCACTACTCCACCCATTTTCATTTCAAAAAATGGGGGCCAAACGGGAGTTTAGATGTGGAAAATTATGCCAAATACAAGTAACCAAACTCACAAAGATTAAGTTCTTACAAAGTCAACACCAATTGTGCTGATGTAACTGTCCAAGTATGAATCATCCTGCATGCAGATTAAATATGATCAGCAACTAACCTAAATTCATAAAAACTACAAACGATGCCAAGATATGAAAGCAGAAATCCAAATATAATTTCCATTGCCTATTGCAGCTTTGTATTAAAATGATGAAATCCACCACCTTCTCTTATTACCTCAGAGGCTAACACGGATATTGCATGTTATTCACAAGCTTAAAAAATAGTATTCTACAGATTACTAAAGGGAGCAAAAAGAAGTTAATTAACTGCCAAGTTATTATTAGTACTGCTCTTGCTGAAACTGAGAGCACAGGCTCAGCCTTGGCAGAGTGAAAAGGAGCCCTAAAACCAACCCTAGTTAGAAAGCCTAAAGGAAATTCATATTTCAAACTTTTCCAAAATCTTATAGTCACACTAGTTCCTTTTTTCAAGAAGGGTGTATTCAGTATGACAATATTTACCATTGTTAATATAGCTTTTATTCAGTTTGTCATATTAGCTTAGTTCAATAAGAAATAAGAAAGAAAACAAATAGAAAATGGATTAGTTGAACCAAGGGTATTCTTATCCCTTGTTTGAGCCCCATTTTTTCGTCAAAATACATTTTTCAACAATGATTTGACCATACTTCAATCACACATTTTTTAATAAAATAATATTCCACGCAAATTCAAGATTTTTCTTTATTTTTTAACCACACATTTTTCCATTAATATATATATATTTTTTGGATAGGTAAATTTTCCATTAATATATTATTCAAAAATGCATTTTTTGACAAGAATGGAGCTCAAACATGGGCTTAATATTTACTTTATCATTATGAGAGATGGCGAATCTTCTCATACAAAATTGAAATGTTAATTTAAAATTCAAAAGGTGATGATAAAGGAAGAATACGAAAAAAACTCAAGAAGAATGTAAAGTCTTGCTGATGTTACATTTGAGGAAGTAACTTCAAATGACTTACAGCAAATCTCAGGAGAAGACATGACTTGCCTACACCAGAATCTCCAATTAATAGAAGTTTGAATAAGTAGTCACTGCAGAACTCAAGTCAAGTGTCGTGGTTAATATGACATTATGGAGTATTCCAAGATACACATACAGTTATAGTCAACGAGAAAATAGCATAAGTTGGATGAAATAGATCGGCAGAACACAAATATAAAACTTTTCCAAGCTTTTCAACACGATGTACAAAAATAAGTAAACTGACACAATTTTCAATCAAGTATGCAACCCAAACAGAGGGAATCGAGGATGTATTCATGCCTCTTCTATGTAAATGCTTAGGAGTTAGGACATATCCATGTGGGTTAGCTTGGCCCAACTTGGCATGCTTTAAAATTATTATTTATCAATACAATAAATAAATTTTTACAGGTTACCTTCAAAAGAACTCCTTTTTCTGATGAAAATTGGCCACTTAAACAAAAATTGTTAAGAGTGCTAGTTGTTTTGAAAATAATAGAAGCTCATCGAGGGAGTTAAAAATAAATGGCTAATTAAAATTTCTTTTCTAGTTAAGAATAACAACATCCTATTAGTTCCTGAACATAATGACCCGTAGAACTCATTTGTGTAACCAGTAATTACAAAATACTCTCTAACATGACCTTTTTACCATAAATAAACGGAACCCATTCATGTCTTCTGTCCACGTAGGAACTTTGCATCAATAGTAAAGATGCAATTTTCTTATCTAATCGATAAGTAGATCCCAACTCTTCACTAAAGTTCACACTTTTCCATATTGTAAGGACCTGGTTCAATGTGTTTACTCCAAACCGAATAAAAACGGAAAATAAAATTGTTTGTGTAAAAAACCCAAAGCACCAATCGATAAAATCTAGTAACAAGCAGAAAACCCCAACTTTACGGCAAACAACAAGTCGTGGATCTAAAATATACATCAATACATAACAATAAGCACAATTGACACTTGCCAATCAAATTTGAAGCAGATCTAAAAATAAATAAAACCAACTTCCGAGTTTTCAGGCCCTAAATGTTAATGTTTTTGACGTTCAATTGTAAAGAACAGAGAGAATTACTATTCGGGATTCATGATTGGATAGGATGAAATGAAGGAAGATGATCCAACAGTACTGAAGGCGGAATATTATCCTTCCGACGGCTGGAGATTAGCCAAAATAGAATCGTCTCCGGAGGAGTTAACACGGGTTGACGAGGCTGAATAAAAGTAAATGGATACCAAAAAGAAATTGTAGCGCTGGAAATTACTTATAGAGAACACCGACAGGATACTAACGGTGAGGAGTTCGAGGAGGAGAGGAATGATACACGAAATTATATGGAGTACCCAATTCTTTGGTTTATTATAAATGTTGCCCCTTAAGATTCATATTAGTATAAATTAACCCCTAGAGGATAAAAAAAATAACATTAATAATTTTTTATATAATTGTGGTCTCCCTCTCCATTATTCATGTGCTTTTGTTTGCAATATTTTTTGTTTCATTATTTGTAGTTTTAGGGATCGAGTATTGTAGCAACATTCTCACAACTTGTGATCGACTCCAATTTTTTTGCCCTTGTAATAGAATAATTCGGTGACTTATTGATTTTAATTGATTTTTGGCGTCGTAATTTGAGCGATTTAATTTTGTGTAGGAGAAGTTGAGAGTCTGAGAAAGATATTTTATTTTAAAATATTTTTGTACTTCTCATGTGATTGTTGATGATCTTATTAGATCACATCGATTTCACATTTTCTATGGTTCGATTTTTTTTTTTTTTTTTTTTTTTTTTTCTTTTTTTAATAAAAAATAATTAAGAAATACTCATGGTAACCATTCGAGCCGACGAAATTAGTAATATTATCCGTGAACGTATTGAACAATATAATAGAGAAGTAAAGATTGTAAATACTGGTACCGTACTTCAAGCCAGAAATCTTCTCCTTTGAACCTCATTTATATATATCTCTAGAAAAACTTTGATATATTTACATATAATTAATTGCTTATATATCCGCGATGAGCTCAGGAGATGAAGCTTCTCAAACAATTTCCAAGAAATCCAAGAAGCCTCAATGTAGATTGCTTTTCTGTGTTTCTTTCAATATAACATTATTTTTTATCATTCTCTTTTATTTCTTAACTTATGTTTATGCAGCTATTAATCATTTAACTTATAATTGATTTGATGCGTTGGATAATTTATTATTGAAAAAAAAAAATTATAATTCTTAGATGATTATAAGCATGTTTCAGAAGTGGTTATAAATGATTTTGTTTATGAACCGAAGAAATGAACGTTGAATAGATGGATAGTATTTGCAAAGAATGCGCCGATAAAAATTATTTTTTTGTGAAAATCCTTACACTTACTAATATCATTGACCACGTTATTCTTGATATTGATTGGATCAAGAAAAGATACCCTCATTGTTACAATTTTGTAATGTTTTCCAGATTCCAGATTTACTCAGCAGGAACTTCCTGCTTGCAAACCAATATTAACTCCCGGATTGGTACGGTTTTCCAATACTATACATATTCATGTCGATCCACTTGATCTTGAAGTTCAAAATTTTTTATTTAACTTTTGATTTTGCAACTAATTCAGGTCATAACAACTTTAATCTCCATTGGCATCATATTTGTTCCTATCGGCCTCGGTTCCTTGTCTGCATCAGAGCATGTAATATTGTAGCACATCTTTCTTGTGACTAAATTTAAACAATGCTCACTGAACTTTAAACTTATTACTACTTACTCACTCATCTTTCACGCGTTACTGAATACCACGTTATTGAATACTCACTCATCTTTCCATATAGTTACCCATTCACCACTCGTCTCTTCGAATAATTGGGCAAGTTTTGCGGCAACTTTCCGACAACTTCTGACCATCAAGACCGTTGGATTTTGATACCGTTGGAAAACCCACGATATCCTTTTCAATTACCATCCAAAATCTCCTGATAACTCCAAGGGATTCAACCTGAAAATTGTCGCAAAAGTCGCACAAAAAATCTGAAAATTTGGGCAGATTTTCAAATTTTTTTGGGTGATTTTGCAACAATTTTCCGACAATTTCTGACAACCAAAACTGCTGGATTTTAATACCGTTGGGAAGCCCACAATTTCCTCTTCAATTACCATCCAATATTTCCTCATAACTCCAAAGAATTCGATCGGAATAAACTCACAAAGTCAGCATCTCGAACTCTGTCCAGATTTTCGCATTTTCGGGATACTGACTTTGTAGGTTTATTCCGACCGAATCTTTTGGAGTTATGGAAATTTTTTGGGTGGTAATTGAAAACGACATTGTGAGCTTTCCAACGGTATCAAGATCCAGCAGTTTTGGTGGTCAAAAAATTGTCGCAAAAGTCGCACAAAAATTCTGAAATTTTGGGCAGATTTTCAGATTTCTTGGACGACTTTTGAGGCAATTTTTAGGTCGAATCCCTTGGAGTTATGGGGAGAGTTTGGATGATAATTGAAGAGGACATCGTGGGCTTTCCAATGATATCAAAATCCGGTGGTCTTGATGGCCGGAAGTTGTCGAAAAATTGCTGCAAAAGTCCCCCAATTATTTCAAGAGACGAGTGGTGGAGTGGTAACTATATGAAAAGATGAGCGAGTATTCAGTAATGCGTGAAAGATGAGGGAGTAAGTAGTAACAAGTTTAAAGTTCAGTGAGCATTGGTTAAATTTACTCTCTTTCTTGTTGCGGTCTCTTCTCAGCCTCAGTGGTTAGTATTAGAAAAGTTTCTCTTTTTTCTTACATTTAGGTGGTGGAAATTGTCGACCGATATGATGATGCTTGTATTCCTTCAAATGGAGACGACGAGGCAGCAAAGCGTGAGAGGCTTTCATTCATCCAGAACGCGAAAACAAATAAAACCTGTATCAGGAATTTAGTTGTCAGTTTAATCCCTTGTAACTTTTTGTATTAATACATTGAGCACTTGACTCTTCTCCTTTATTACTTTGATTTTATCATACAACTTTTGAGCATCTCTCCAGGTTCCAAAGAAGATGAAGCATCCCATTCATGTATATTATCAGCTTGACAACTTCTATCAAAACCATCGAAGGTATGTTACAATATGTGAAAGTCATTTTATTTTCCCTTTTCATGTAGCCAAACATTGCATATTCATTTACTTATGAACATGGATGTTTTGATCTTGGAGTTGATAGAAGAAAAATGAAATCGCGAAGCAAAAAATGAGAAGAAAATCATGTGTAAATTAGCAAATTTTTCTTTGATTATGCAAGTACCAGTATATCAGTACCTTTCTTGACTTGAAACTGTACCATGGTACAGATATGTAAAAAGTAGAAGTGATAGGCAATACCGGAGCCCCGGGTCCGAGGGAGATACAAAGACTTGTGCTCCTGAGTCTGAAGTCGATGATCACAGACCTATTGTTCCATGCGGCTTAATTGCTTGGAGTTTATTCAACGATACATATGGGATTTCGACCAAAGACAATCCCATACCAATTAACAAGAAAGATATTGCATGGCAAAGTGACAAGAACTCTAAATTTGGGTCTAATGTCTATCCTAAAAATTTCCAAAAGCAAGATCCTGTCGGGGGTGGAAAACTTAATGAAAGCCTGCCAGTAAGTCGACTATCCCTTTTTCTCTATATCAATTTTATTGCAGCTCAAAATCACATTTCATATTGTTCAAATTACTTACATTTGATTTTCAATTTTGGCACTCATTTTCAATGAACTTTCATAAGCTTTATCTAAATTAAAACGTTGTACATGACACCGTTAACATGACCAATTTGATTCGAGGCCCGGCACTAATAGAAGTTGCTTACTTTCCTACTGACAAAGGGAAAAGGCAGTTTTTTTTTCCTTTAACAGTGAGCATCTAAATTAAAAAGCTGTACTTAACACGTCAATCTGTTTCAAGTTCCAGCGCTAATAGAAGTTGCTCAGTTTCTTTATAGCAAAGGAAAAGGGCAGGGTTTCCTTCTTCATAGTGTGCAGGTCTACTCTGATCAATTCATGTAACTTGAAAGTTTCAAAAATTCAGAATAAATTGTTCCCATCTTTCCCCCTGGGTCTGAGATACTTGAACTGATTTAGAGCATCAATGCACAGCATTAATAGTCGTAACACGTCAGTACAGTATAAAATATATATTTCTTTATCTTCTCCTGATTCGTATTAATAGTTTTGTCCATGTGATTTCATGTAATAGTTGAGTGAACAAGAGGATCTTCTTGTTTGGATGAGAACTGCAGCATTGCCCAATTTCAGAAAGTTATATGGGAGGATAGAGACTGACTTGGAAGCCGATGAGAAGATAACAGTAGTAATACAAAACAATTATAATACATATTCTTTCGACAGCAAAAAACAGCTAGTACTTTCCACAACTACTTGGATTGGTGGGAAAAATGACTTTCTTGGCAAGGCCTATATCTCTGTTGGTGGAACTTGCTTGTTCCTTGCAATAGCTTTCATATTAACTTATGTCATCAAGCCTAGGTAAATAATTTCTCCATATTTTCTTCTACAATATTATTATTATTATTATATTTTTATTTTTATTTTATTTTTTGCAAAAAGCAAGAGCCCCTTCGAAGAAATCACCTTGTCTCATAAATACGCATGTTTTTGGAGTTATGAAAAGCAATGTTTTTTGATCATCTCTGAAAGAAGTTAACCAAGATTTGTGCCATCTTTATTTATTATTATACGAAGAAATATAAACAATTACAAACTTAGGAGGGGATAAATAAAATGATTTCGAGCTTTTGCAATTGCAAATTAGAACAATGGAACAATATGGTAAATTATGAATTAGCCTACACTTTATCCCGTGTACTCTCATCATACTTCTTGTCATCATGCGTTGAGTTAGGTACTTAGTTGGCTCCTAATGACCATGTACCAAGTTTTATTTACATGGATTTTCGTTTAAATTGTGATCACTTTTCAGTAGAATTTTATTATTATTATTATTATTATTATTATTATTATTATTATTATTATTATTATTATTATTATCATCATCATCATTTTAATTTATTTTATTTTTTTGCTTTGTGCAGGCCTTTGGGGGACCCAGCCTACTTGTCTTGGAATCTAAATTCTGCAACGCGCTAATTATAGAACTTGCTACACAGATCCCTGCCAAATTACTCACAGTGCGGGCCCCGACATTTTTTTTCATGTGGGACCGACCCCTACAATGAGGGGTCGGTAAATCCCCCGTAGGAAACCTATTTTTTAATCTGTCTAATTCTAGTGGTCATTTTACTAATATATTGAGGGAAATTTCGCACGTTGAATTAGAGAAAAATCGATAAAATTAAGAGAGTATTGTGACAATATTTGATAGTTGTATTGTTCAATTTTACAAGACTAAGTGTATAAAACATGCCATGAATTATCAACCGTGCAAAACAATATACGCATCTAGTGACTACTCATATTTGACTTCTCCCCATGGAAACCCACACTTCTAATTTTTGATTTATATTTGGCTCAACCCCCTTGTAAGCTAACAAAAACTCGATTTAAGTTGTCTTGTTTTGATCCTATTTGATAGAAATTAAAATTTAAATTTAACCTAAATCAAAGTTAATAATCAATTTTAACATGTTTTATGGAACGTACAACTTTTCTACTACGTATTTCATCAACTTTTATTAAAATATGCTGAAAATAATATACTAAAAATATGATTTTAATCCCTATTATTTAATGGATGAAAATGAGAAAATTTATAACCCCGAGCCAGGCAATAACATTATTTTGAATCCATTCAATTTGAATTGATATTTTCTCCATCACAATTATTGCCAGAGTCTCAATCTAATCTAATTTCTTAAATGTCTCGACCTAAGTTCATAGAGATACACATGCAAAGTCAAAAGTGAGTGCTTGGCGTTGGAGGTGAGGGGGTTTAACTCCCTGCCAACTCGCCAACAAACCTCACCTTCCTATGCTCAATATATTTATAAATTACATAGTGGGTAATCTAATCATTTAAAAAGCTTGAACCCACATATGCATGTCTGATCTTTATAAATCTACGTCTCAACTTCCATTTCTGCAGCTATGGCAATGAATAAGCTGCTTATAATTTCTGCACTTGTGCTTATAGTGTGTTCATTAACATGCGGAGCAACTCTGTACCTGGTGGGTGATACCTCCGGCTGGGATATTAGTACTAATCTTGAAACATGGGTGAAGGACAAGAGGTTCCTTGTTGGTGATGATTTACGTAAGTACTTTTTTAATCATCAAATTATAAGTTTGTTGGAATCATCTGGTCTGAACTTTTAAATAAGCTGCTTGTATGTCATGGTTATTTACTTATTT